GTATTGAGACTAGAAACAGCGTTGAAAACGCTTCCATCTCGATAAGAACTTCCATTCATCTCGCTTACACGTCGCGATCAATTGCTTCTCTGATGATAACAACAGGTTGATTTTCCCAATGAAACCTCTCAAGCCACGTCGAAAACCAAAGGCAATGGATTTTCCAACGTAAGCGTGCATGTACACGTAGTTTTCACGAGAATTGAAAGTTTCTGCGATATTCTCTGTTAAAATACCGAAAGGTTATTACAGGTGTTTCAACACGTTTAAGGGCGTTTAAGAGGGTTTAAAGGCCTTTAAATGGGTTTAAAAGCTTTTAGAAAGATTTAAAGGCGTTTAAAGGTGTTTTTCAAGGTTCGCCATTTAAAAACGCATGCACGAATGGACATTTTCCTCGACAAGCATGCCTTCAGTCGAGAAGAAGCGTCGAAAACTGCTCTTTTTTGATACACAATTGCCCTCCTGTGACTTACATTTCGCGATCAGTCGATTTGTGATCAGAACAACCGGTTGATTTTCTGAACAAATCCTGTAAAGTCACGTTGAAAAGTGAATGGAATGGTTTTTGAAAGTGAGCATGCCTCTAAGCTTGGGTTTCACAAAAAATGAAAGTTTTCGCGAAGTGCCCTGTTTAAACGGCGTGAGATGTCTCACGAGGCTTCTACCCGATTACAAGTGTTTTAATACGTGTAAAGTTGGTTGTGGCCCTTTATTTGAGTCTCGCGAATCGCTTGATCTTTTCATTTAAAAGAATGGCTTTCCTTTGGAAATACGATTTAAAAGCATTGTTCCTATCTGCACCCTTCGTAGTTCCCCTATTTCCTATATATAGAAAATAGCTCTATATTGTTCTATACTTGAAATATAGATTGTAGTTTTCTATATTCTAGTCGTACATGGCACTGATTACTAAAATATAGAACATTAAGATTTTCACTTCAGATATAGAGCGATACAGAGCTATTTCTTATATATAGGAAATATAGGAACTACGAAGGGTGCCTATCTGAGCACTTTCTGTACTATTATTCTCACTGCGTGATTCGAGGATCTGTTGTGTATACTACTTATTGAGTTACGTCCGGCCACGACTATCAAGTGAGATAATACACAGAAGGGAGTGTTGTTTTAAGTTGAGCCAGTTGGCTACACTGGATTTTAACACAGTAATGAACGTTTCTAAGAAAAGCGATGTCGAAACGTTCCAAGGTTCGGAAACACGTTGAAAGCCCTCAGGGGCGTTTTGTCGTTAACTTTGTAAAAAAGAAAAATTCGCATCCATCCGTTTGTATAGATACAGTAAAAGCCATTTGAAAGCCTTTTTGTTGGTAGCTGCAGTGTTTGACACGATTTCAACGAGGAAATCAGTGTTTTCGTAAAAAAACGCCTTTCATGAGATTGAAAAGCCTTTACTGGTTAACTTTGTAACGAGGTTAAAATGCGCATCCAACTGTTTGGAGTGATATAGTAAAAGGCATTTAAACGCCTTTTTGTTTGGTAGTTTCAATATTGGAGATGATTTCAAGAAGGACATCAGAGTTTTCGTAAAAAACGCCTTTAAAGAAGTTTGAGAAATTTATGGTTTGAAGGACCTTTAAAGGCGTTTTTCTGAAGAACGCTCTTAAAGGCGTGTTTTCGGTATATTTCATCGTTTTTCATTGTGTATCTTGATGCAGTGAGTTAACTGATTTAGTTAGCTAGAAAACGCTTGCTGCCAGTGGATTTATTTGGTTTCATATGTTTGATGGGAATTACGGTAGTTCACGATGGAATAGGGCCGTATACGTTGGCGTTCCAGACCGTATCCGTCAAAAGACGGCCGGTTTACGGCACAGGTTTCAGTGTTTATGGTGGGTGTGTTTTGCCGTATATGTCGCGGCGTGTTACGATCGTAATACGGTCGCTACCAAACTGGTGAAACACGGCCCGTTTACGGTCGTAATTTCAACGTTTACGACTGTTTACGCTACCGTACACGACCGTTTACGGTCGTTTAGGATCGTCGTAACCATCGTCCTGGGAGTGTCCTTTGCTTATGGGGAAAACAAAGATGACAAATTCAATAGCTCAAAAAATTGCTATCTTTTTACAGAAGTTCTTTTGTAAATACAAATAAAAATGTTTAATTTAAAAAAAAGGCCTCTGACAAGCACTGCAACTTTAGATATTCTTTCAAATAAGACTTAAATGGAACATATTTGTCGCTTTTTGTGGAGAAAAAGTATATTTTTCAAGCAGAAAATGACACAAATCGTCAAAAGATTTTATGTTGATAGTTTGTTGTTGAATTTACTGCTGTTACAAATAATTTTTTTAGAATTTTTGCATTTGGTTGTTGATCTAGTTTTCCTTTTTGTAGAATTTTTGGCTTTGTTCGATTAATTTGAAAAAAGATATCACCAAGATCTTCTTATTTCAATGAGCTATGTGTTAAACGAGTCAATATATTTTGTGCAATGCTATGATGACATTTTAGCAAAACGTCTTATTATGAACTACTAGAAGAATGCTTTTTAGTGGTGTTGTTGACAAATGACTGCTATGGTTTTCATTGATATGATGGTATTTGAGCTCATCAATCAATCATTTAATAAATAACAATCGTTGAGAGCCCTTTGACAATTTTTTTGAATGGCTTGTTCGGTTTTCTTTAATGCTTTTAAATTTTGTAGATCGATTTGACGCTGTAGTTGTCCTATTTTAAATAATGACATCAACGACTCTTGCATTTTGCCTTTTCTTCTTCGATACCATTGTAAAAATACTCATGCAAAGAAAATATCTTTCATTAGTTTTAAGATTATATTTCACAGATTGAGTTGTAATTCTTAACATTTTTGGCTCTCTATATCATTCCGTGTAATATGAAATCTTTGAGCAACCGTCTTTCACATCGCTTGAAATTTCTGTGACTCAGAAGAGATTTTATGTTGATTTTCAATTGTTATTATATCATTTAATTGTTGTTCTTTAGCACCTGATTTCATCTTTTCATTCGACAACACATTTGATATTTGACATGAAAAATTTATTCGATTAAGATCCAAGTTATGTTTATTTTAGTGAAGTTTCAGCCTATTATTTGATATGACGAAGAAAACAGCAACAATATATGTCCGTCTGAAGCTGTTCACAACGATGAATCTTCCAACATTTATGATATTCTGAAAGTTTCTGTTGAAACAGACAATTTTCTTATGAGATAATGCATTCGCAAAAAACATTAATTTCTAATATAGAATATCATAAGGATTATGAGATCTAGTCTTAAGAGAAATTTCAAGTGAAAAACTTTTGTTACTGTCGTTCTCATAATATTCTGCAGTAGACTTAAAAGTCATTAAAATGAGTATAGCTGGAGAAAAATGACCGAATAGGTCAAACGCTTGTAAGATTTTTATTGCCATAATGAGTTTTGTTTATGAGTAAGAGATGAACTCAAACGTAAGATTTCAATCGGATAGGTTCTTTCGTAAGATAAACTTGATGATTTATGATATTTCATCATTTGCATTAGGTCTGGATTATAGAAATAAGATAAAAGAAAATCTTTTTGTTTGATAAAAATGAAGTGATAATAATCAAAATAGGATCAGAAAAAAAGATATTTCTTTTAGTTTCCGACATACTTTTGTATAAACAAGCAAATCTGTTTTCATAGCTTCCAGCATAAAATTCCAAAGTACATCTTGTAGATAATATCGACACAGTTTTCTATTTATATTTTTAATGTATATTACTCATCGATGATAAGAGTCTAAAATCATACTCTTATTCATCTTTTTCATCAAACAAAAATAATTACAAAAGACATATGGTTTCATCTTTTTTTCCTAGCATTTTAATGATAATGATAGTGATAAAAAGCAGCTGTGACCATATTAGAAATAAATTGCTCCTAGTTTTATATTTTCAATCATTGTTTGATTTTTTTCTTTCAGTACTAAAATATTAGGAATGGCTGCTTCGAATAGTAAGTTTTAAAAATATAAAAATTCAAATATAGATATTTTTTATTATTAATTAGATAAATCAAGTAATACAAAAGAAGATTTGCAAAAAGAATTTCGTTTATTTGATAAAAACAATGATGGATACATTGATAAAGATGAATTAAAATTGGTTTTAAAAAAAATTTTACCTAAATTTAAATTACCGGATGATGAAATAAAACGAATGATTTCAAATGTTGACAAGAATAATGATGGAAAAATCGATTATAATGGTAAATAAAATGTCTGTTTTTCCATTATAATAGCTATAAGATAAATCAACAAATAGAATATTTTATTGCTCTAATGATAATGAAAAACAAAGCTAAATGTCTTTTCTTTTCGTATAATATTATTTATTTCTCTTTGTTTTTATTCACTAGAATTTATGGAATCGATTTATCCACAATTATCATCAATACAATAACAGATCATGCAAAAATCATTTATAGAACTATAAACATATTTTGAAATGGATTGAATATGAATACATTTTAACAATAAAAAATCGACCATACTTATGATAAAAACACTGAACATTCGAGAAATCTGATTCAAGACTAATATATAAACACGTATTTCTCTTCTGTGTCTACCTTTGCCGTCATATTCCTCTCAATGAATAGTCTCTTCGTATCTTATAGGCCATGAATAAAGATAGATATTGAGCATCAACACATCTACTAACTGTTTCTCATAGGTCTTATGCATATTTCATTATTTTGTTCTTTGGTTTCTCACTATGTCCATTATAAAGCATTCAAAATAAAGATCAAAATTGTTCATCCTATATTTGTCCAGTGATCTTCTCTCAGGCATGTTGTAGCTATTTGGGTCGAACCACGGCACAGATACAATCTGTTCTCACGTTCCTTCTTTAATGTATTGTCCACAAGCATGATAACTAGTAGTGTATTGCATGAAGCTTCAGAAATTAAAAAAAAAAGCTACTTTTTCATATCGAGCTCGGATTCTTGCGTGGCTAGTTGCACGCTATCAAATTTCATATTCTGGTTATGCATGTCTCTACAAGATTAGCAAAGAACTTCAAAGGGTTTCGGTCATACACTTCTAATGCCAAGATCTGACGTTGTTGTATATTTTCGATACCAGATAATTGGTCTCAAAAAAAAGAGTGACACAAATGATTTTTTTTTGGCACCGGAAAGTTCTGATTTTAAAGAAATATAAACTCGATCTCTTTTAGAGAGCTTTACTTTCATATAGTCCTGTTCGCAGCAAAAGTACGGAATTGCAAGAATATTTGACTCACGAGGGAAGGTCCCCAACTGACGGACGCCGTTCGACTCCATATTATGGCTACAAGGTAGATCTCTATGAGACTAAGAAAATCCTGAAAGGATTCGTGCCCATGGCCTATCGGTGAAGAGTTATGACCGTTTTACTGAATTTTGGGCATGCGACAAGAGATTTCAAAAAAAATCGAATTAAAGAATTTCGATCTGAAAATTTGCCCATACATAGGTTTAATAGACATTAGAATTGCTTGAAAGTTTCAGCCAAAACGAATGTACCTTTCTCGAGATATTGAATTGTCAAAAAATAGTCAGTTTTCACAGGCAGGTCACAAAAACCGAGTTCACTTGACCATTCAATATCTCGAGAAAGGAACATTCGTTTTGGCTGAAACTTTCAAGCAATTCTAATGATTATTAGACCTATGTATGGGCAAATTTTCAAGGCGAAATTCTTTAATTCGATATTTTTGAAAATTCCTTGTCGCATACCCAAAATTGAGTAAAACGGTCATAACTCTTCACCGATAGGCCATGGGCACGAATCCTTTCAGGATTTTCTTAGTCTCATGGAGACCTACCTTGTAGCCATGATATGGAATCGAACGGCGTCCGTCAGTTGGAGACCTTCCCTCGTCAGTTCAAAAATTTGTACATATTGCTTTCAAATCGATATCGATCAAACTACATGACTGGTAGGATCGATTAATTCAACCCTGACGCGTTATGTTCCATACGTTTTCCTCCGCTTTTGAAATTCGACCATGTAATTCCCACACTTTTGACATCTGTCTTCACTTCGATCCTCTACACTTCTTTGCCATAAGTGCTGAGTTATGCTTTTGACTAAACACTTCACACTAAGCTTCACATGTAATCGTCGAATAGACTTTAATATCAATATATTGAAATAAAAACAAAACAAATTTTATTTTTCATAGAACAAGTTGAACTAATTTTAATAACATATCTTTAGTTAATTGTTGTAGATTATCATGTCGATAAATATCTTGACGATTCTTTTGAATAAATTCAACACATAAATCGACAACATCATTAAGAAGAATATTATCTTGTTCGTTATCATTTGGTGTCATAGGAAAGAGACCTGATTGAATAAAAATTTTTAATACATTTGTTTTATTAATTATTTTCTTTAAAATATTAAATGCTTTCGTATAGATTAAACTTAGAAAATATTCATCAGCTTTACGCATTAATTCAAGACATATATCATATGTTAATATTGGTTCAATTGTATCTGTAAATATAAAATGTAATATTTGATAGAAAGCTTCATCAGAGATATTTCTTATTCGTATTGGTTCTTTTGTATTCAATGGATATTTAGTAAATAATTCATTAAAATAAGTACATCGAATACTAAGAATATTTCGATAAGATGATATTAATTGTCCATTATCAAGTTGAAATGTAACATCGAATAAATAATCCTTTATTAATAAATCCTTTAAATTCGTCAAGATTTCTTTATAAAACAAATCAGTATTAGATAGATGACCTATTAATTTAATACAATCAATTTCACACCAAGTGCTAGCTGCACTACAATTAACATTAAGACGAATTTGATTTATTTCTTTTCTAGATATATTTCTACATGGAATAGAAAAAATACGTGCTAAAAAAATACAAATTTAATTCTTTTATTCTTTTTTTAACTATTTTGCACTTACATTGTCCTTCACTATGAGGAACTGCAGTTTCCCAAACAGTTTCCCATTCGGAATTATCTTTTCCTATTTATTATTATATTAAATTTGATAAACTGTTCACCAATTTTAAACATACCATTTCGTGCTAAAACTTTAACAACAGCACCTGGATGAAATGTTTCATAGATATCAATTTGTTCGGGATAGACAGCTCGTTCAAATTCAACAATAATAAATTCATCATTTCCTCGAGAACCTTGAGCCCATGAACCAGTAATATCACCTATTTATTTACGCAGATGAAAGAATATTGTAATAATATATATATATATATATCCTATCTCTTACCATGACGAGGATAAACTTTTGGTGGTCCAATAATTTGATTTGCAGACCATGTACTATTATTATATTGAGAAGAATAATTAATAACACGTGCGACCCCTTTATAGTAACAATAATTAAATTTAAAATAGAACATTTTAATGATCTTACATTGTTCCTGTCTTTTCCAACCTTGTAGAATCGTATCTGATTCAGACATTTTAAAAATAAAATGTTCGAATGAAGAGTTATTAATGATTCGCTGTTATAGGCACAGTACACTTTTCTGTTACAAGGGTATAGGTCAACTGTCAAAGAGAAAAAAGAAACATGCACATCTTAGTATTCAGTTGACAAATGAATTTTTTTCTTTGTTTTTTTATTTCTTCGTTCTTTTAAAAAATAGTTGACGACAACCTCATTTTAAGATTCGTCATCAAGTTGTTATGTTATTGCACCATCAATAGAAACAATGGCCAATGTTGAGTTAGTAATAATAGCTTTTTTTTTACATGATGATGTCATAGAAAAGTATTGGTTTGCTTGTCTACTAATACATCGATAAAATAAAACATTTCAACAACAAACTGTTTCGATTAAAGAAGAATTGCAACGAGTTGAACTTATGATATGAATTAGTGTATATTTTTCGCCTTTCTATATATGAAAATCAATAAAAAATGATTTTGTAGATTTTTTTATTTTTCATTAATATATGTACAGTGAAGTATTCTTGATCTATCAGATATGTTTTGATAATTCAAATAAAGGTTTTTGATTAACAGGAATTGAAACTATCGGAGGTTTTCTATCTGAAACTAAGATATATTTCTTGATCCTGACGAGTTTTTTTTCGAAATCGAATTTTTCTAGAGACAAATAAGTCAAATCGTACCCGTGCATTCGACATAGTAAGAGGAATCGATCTGGAACTTTTTTCACGCATAATGTAGTATATGACTATTGTAATGTTAAAAAAAAGATTGCTCTGATGATTTTTAGCAGTTTTCAAAAAAAATTTGTCCGATTAAAAAAAATTAATATTTTTTCCAATATTTCATAGATAGCATTAGTTTTGTTCGATTTATTAAGATCTAGTTACCATAAAAGTTTCCACTTTTTCTGATGAACTGCTCTACAGATATTTTGAATGTAACGTGAGTAATTACCATTCATTGTCACGTTTTATCTATCACTAGTTAAGAGAACAACTAATGCTCGATTAATTTATATCTCTTGATTGAGTAGTGTCACATATCCAAGATTTTGGAGATGTCACCACGTCTCTCGCGGGAGATGCCGCATCTTCCGCTGGAGACGCGGCACCCACACTCGAGAGATGTGGTCATTCACCACTGGAGATGTAAGATCTCCTTTAGAGATGCCCACCCCCCACACCCACACCCGCATCTCTCGCGCGAGATGCGGCATCTCCCACGGGAGACCTGGTGGCATCTCCAAAATCTTGGATATGTGACACTGCTGATTATTTATTTTATAATTGATTCTAAAATTTCTTTTATTGTATCTCATAATTTCCAATATGTTCTTCATTTAAGTTGCATCTCAACTACACCAAAATATTCTGTAAGATTTTTTCAATTACATTAACATAATTTATTAAAAATCGCATATATATTGTAATAAAGAACCAAAATTATTCTTATTGTTTATGCTTCAAAAAATAATAATTACGGGTTAGAATGTGAAAATGTAAAATATAATACATATGTACTCTCATAGAGTATATACATTATTTACAGCAACTTTCGATATCATCGATCAAAAATATAAAAAGAGAGTATGACTCATAAAAATGAAAACTTCTAATTTCGCAAGTTTGTTCGCGGTACTACCGAGATATTGCAATACTCATTAAAATCTGCTGTAAACTGTAGATTTCTGGTCAGATAATAATCATCAGCATGCTGTGGTAGAATGATGATTAAAAAATAGCCAACCATTTGAGTATCAAACTGCTATAGGTTATTGGCCACTATTAGCCAATACCATTGGTATATCGCTTACAGGACCGAACAGTTTACCGACAGATTTCAAACCCATGATTACGTGATTTTATAAGCGTATATGTATACGTCCCATACGAAGTATAGATATTTAATATACGCATAAGTTCTTTCTTTTTACAAGTAATCACTTTTCTTTTCGTCAAAGAAATATGAACGAAGTTCGAACAATTTATTACAAAGTCATCGGATAATGAAATTTTTGATTAGAAATGATTTGTTTAATATATTTTATATTATTTTATTGAAAAATAACTGTATAAGATTAGTTTTACTATAAAACTCAACTATGCTTATCTTGATTTTATACAGTTTTTACTATTGAGTGCACAGCATTGACGATCATTCTGACAACAACGACTTGGACCCGGATTTTGAGTCATAATACAGTTAACCACATCGACATTACATTTTATACAAGCTATTGATACTAAATAAATCATATATGTGAAAATAAAAATTTTTAATGAAAAGAAAGTCAACTAACATGGAATAATCCAACTAACACGTGTACATCTGTTTTTTTGGTAACAATCATCATGTATATCACAGCAGGCACCCTTCTGACCACAACTATCGATAAGAGCATCACAACCAGGATAATTTTTCGGAAGAAGTTGAATAGAAGTCGTTGTTGGATTACTTGTACAATCGGTAATTAAAAGGAAAGAAATGACTACAGAAAGTTTCGTTACGATCATTATGAAATACTGATTTTTTTTTTGCTTCTTACAGCATGTATTTATTGATTGCATTGATGTGAAAATCATTTGCATAAATTATTAAAATAGTTTTGTACATAATGACGAATTATCTGTTTTCCTTTCTTCCGCCCGTCATATCCAACGTCATGTATTGAAAAAATAAAGTTGCATGAAATTTTGCATATATTAATAATGCAACATAATCATAGATCGAAGAAATCCAAACAAACGGAAAGAAAAAGAGTAAAATCCTATTCCATTATCGGATTTATTTGATTTCGATAGTCAAAACAATCTTGATAGTGAAAATCAATGCGTCCTCCACTGAATATACTCAAGTGCATGGTGAAAATAAAGCGATGCAAGCAAATATAGTAATTCAACAGAGTTTCATTTTACTATCTCAGGAAATAACATATTTACCCTCATTGTCGAAATTGTATTCGAAATTAAGTACTGCGAGCTAATCAAGTAAATCTTGAAATGCAATAGAATTATATTCTTTTTCTTATTTTCATATGTACTCTTGAAGTTTTTATTATTCACTATAATCTTAATACTGACCATGATGCTATACTCCTGTCAAATAGTCTAAAGTGGAGTTCTGTAAAATCATTAGATTTGCTTGGATAGCTTCCCTTAATTGAATTCGAAGAAGTCTATGCTAGGTTTCCCTTAGATTGATTCTGGTTGGCGAAGAATTTCTTTGTTATGAGGAATCATATAGAATTTCCTATTTTTGAATTAGGGATATATCTCAATAGACTTTATCAGATTTTAAAAGACTGTAAAGATATCACAAGACATCGAAAAATTCTAAGAGGTTTCATGTGAAGCTTTTAAGAGTTCGTAAAACTTCATGAAACTCTCACACCGATGAAGTTTGCATATCCTCCTTGCTTAGCATATTATATATAACGTTTTTAGCTCTATTATTGACCTTAAATCGATCAGTTCTTATTATAAGAATTGATTTAACAATTCATTAGCGTATGTCATCTATTTTTATTACTTGAAGCTTTGGCAAATTTATTCTTGTGCACTATTTTAATATTGAATGTGTTACAAGACAAGACAAAAAATCAAATGTTTATTTTTTCGAAAGCAGCTTAAAGGAGCTCTTTTCTTTTCAAGTATTAAAATTAACTTTCTTACCAGCTTCGAAATGATCTATGTAAACGTCATATAAATGAAGGATTTTCTTAGTTAATACTTTTATTAAAACCAACTCTCAAAATCTTTACAAGAAAAAATCTTAATATAATCATTCTATCTATACATAATGCTCCATATGATAAATTATACGAAAAAATTGCAGAACCGTTTCTGTTTCTTGGACACAGTACGTTCGATTGAACTGAAATATTTTTTACACGTACTGAACCTTGTTTGGAATGGCTAATATTTTTTTATTTTGAAAAAATATTGCACTGTTGAGTTTTGGAAGTACACTCAGTGTTTCGATCTTTTTATTCAAATGGAAGCATATTAAAGGTAGACACCTCAAACAGTGTCTAGCATCTGTAATAGAAAACGCTAGCTCTATTGGACGTATTACGACTGAGAAAGTAGAGATCATTTTGGTCTTTTTGACTCTGATATTTTCTGGAAGAAAGTATTTAGGAATATGAAGTCGATGACAACTTTTGCTGTGCTCATCGAGATATATCTACCTTAAAGATTTCCAATGTTTCTGATGAGCCATTATGCAGAAACTTTGGAAAGGGAAAGACTCTTCGTAAAGGTGTTGCACATATCGAAAGGGTTCAAAATTTTCATGTTTTTGCACTTCTTGAACAATTAACTGATTGAATAGTTCTAGTGTATTTCTATTGGTGACTTAGATTGTTTTGCAATTATATCTATAAACATAACATTTACTTCGTTCAAGCATAATTTCAAATAAACGGTTTTCTATAACTAAAATGACGATAGCTAGATCTCATTGTAATTCTGTACATGTTAAATTGAGAAGAACTGGTTATTTATTTGATTTTCTTCATTTTAAATACGAAACAAGAATCTTCTAGAATAAATCACAGTATAAGTGTCAAGAGTTTCATTCTTGGATGAAAATGTTTGTTTACATCAAAGTTCGTATTAATTCATTGTTCCATCATCGGATAAATCTCCTTCATCCATCATCATATGTCCGACCATATGAGGAGCAAATTGTCGACGTGAAATATTCATATTATTATTATTATTCATTGAACGATTTGATGATGGTATTGAATCATCTTTAACAGATAAATTTGCTTTAATTATAGCAGAACGAAGTAAAAGAGCACGAGTTATTTTTTCTGATTGTTTTGTTATTGTTAATGCATGTTGATATGCAAACCAACGTTGATCTGTATCAGCCACATATAAAATTTTATTTTTTGAATCAATACGTGCTTTTATTTTTCCTGAACGAATTAAATGAACAAGTTCATCTTCAAGTATATCAATGGTTGTATTTAATTGACGTGCCATTGTTTTCATGCATGCATTTTTATATGGTGAAAAATATGTTATTATTATTCGATGACGTATTTCATAATATAATGTACATAAATGTGGTGCTAAATATTGATCTAATGCGAATATTGGTTCCAATTGAGACATTAATGCAATACATGATGAATAAGATGTTTCATAAAATTTAAGAAGAATATCACGAATTGAAGGTTCTAATTCTAGATATTGTTTCATATTTGGTGACATTAAAATTAAACGATGTAATTCGGGTCGTTCAAATGTTGCTAAACTGCATAAACAAACGTATTGAATAAGAGTTTGAGGTGAAATTAAATCCTAAAATAATGATATATTAAATTTGGATGTTATCATAGATTTGTTGACTATCGAATTGAATGATGTACTGCTCGAAAAAGAACTCTGAAAGAGACCAAGATATTCGGTGCAGAAATCCGTCGTCAAAATTCAGTGGTGGAATTTTTCTGATATTGGCCGGTTGTCAGACAGATGCATCGTGTTCTTGCTTCTAATGTGTTGCTTTTTTACGAAAATTTCCTACCAGAAACGACATCTTTTGTAGGGGTTCTGACCGAGAAATCATGGAATCAATCGCTGGAAATATTGGCCTGAGTAGGTTCGGCACTTTATCAATTCTGATATTTACGAGAAAACAACATCAGATATTTTTATCGAATACTTACAAAAAGAAATAGATCTATTGATATGAAATTCACATGATGATAGGAATAAGACTCTAGAATCTTCTTTCATGTTACAAAGATGATGAGACGTAAAAACTTACCATCGAAAATTTAGGAGGTAGAATACCGTTGTCTTATAGCTATCTTACGATATAGAGTATTACCTAGTGGTAGATTCAATAGTCTGATAGTTTCTTTACAACCATGAATAATCATAATTCTGGGCAGAAAGTCGACCTGACACAGAATTGTTGTGCTCAGTCACTTAAACTTCTCATATATACGAACTAATCACAGGAGCCAGTGTATGCCACAACATGGTCAGCATGCTATCGAGTGGTCAATCCGAGACAACTTCCTGCTAGTAACTTGTTCAAGATCATCCTATGACTGGTGATAGTAATGTTTGCTTACAGTAGGTTATGAATACGTCGTGTCGAACAACGTAGAGACTCAGTCATAATAGCAGAAAATTCAACTGCATATTTTTGTTAAGTTTGGGTCGCCAAGTATTAAACTCGAAACAAATCCTTTCATACAGAATAACAAGAATGAATGGGAAATCTATGTATCAACTATTCCATGTCCCTGTCAACTATCAACCACAAAAATAGAGTCGAATTTTTATTAAATAACTGTTCTTACCATTTTCTAACATTTTGGACTGCTTGTTTGATTTTTTTTTCAGAATTTGGTTTATTCATGTAGCAAGAACATTGAAAGGTTTCAGTCAAAACGGTTCAAAATTTCTTGATTTTTCTAACCATATTTGGGATTTAATCAGTTTTTCAAAGTTGAAAATATCAAGAAGTAGACAATCATTTTCACTGGAACTTTTCAAGTATTCTTAGAAGTATGAAATTTATATCTCGTATTCAATATTAATATCAACATTTCATTCTATGATGAAAATCCAGCTAAAACGTCGTAACTATGTAAAGAAGGCTTATAGGGAGTGGTGCTCGTATGATCGGATACTGTCTGGTATAGCTTTGGTTGGCGGACGCTCAACCTTTCTTGGTTACCATAGTACTTATGAGACTGACTCGTGTTAAATTTATTCTCGATTCGAGTTCTCTCACTAGGCTCAAAATATAAGCTCAAAAGTAAAGAGTTACTTAGACCGGCTTCCTTGTCAGTCTGCTTGTAAAGCTAACTATAGTTAATTCTTTAAGCCGATTCTGTTCTGTGAAAACTATCAAAACAAGCAAGCTACTATATAAAAAAAGAAATATTAAATCGAAATAGACAAAAAGAATAAAAAACTTCTTCAAACGCTAATCAAGTCTTTTAAAAACTCAAGCCAATAGTCATTACGAAATATATCATTCTTCGTGATTCAATGGCAAGACTTGCATTGAATCCAAATTCTCTCTGTATCTTATAATTTATTTTCTATTTACTAAAATACTTTGAAATAATAAATCACTTTCATATCAAATTCTACCTGAAAATGGTTTGAACAATGCTCAAATGAAACGCCAAGAAAATGTCGCGCAGCTAATTTATATCTTTTTGTTGCTAATTCTGCAATACCAGCATAAACTTTTAAACGTGAAGCTAAAATTGCATCAGATGCAATTACGCTATTTGCTGTTGTTACATCCATTGGATTAATCATCGATGATATAGTTGATGGTGTTGTTGCTGGTTTTGTTGTTGATTCAAGACTTTCAACAGCTTGTTCAGCTTTACTAACATAAGATAAAACATTTGACCAATTTTGCATATAAAATGATGCTTTAATAACATTCATACACATTGTTATCATATGTCTTGGTGTAACACAATAATCTCTTGAACGTACATAACAACGTACAGCATTAAAAAAATCACCGGCATCTAAATAATGATCACCAAGATCATCATGACCACGACGTATTGAATCTTTTATTGAATTAGTACGAAAATTTCGTAAATCATTATCAAGTTTTTCTAATTTATGCGTATAATTACGTTGAGTTTTTTCATACCATGATGGATCAATATCATTTGGCAATGGTACATTTTGTTTTTTTAATTCATCAAGTATCTATTTCATAAAAATACGAAAAAAAACCAATAAACAAATAAAAATTTTTTTTTTTTTTTACTTGTTTATAAAGTGAAACAAAATGTGTTTCTTGAATATATTTAAGACTTGTTAAAAGTGCGTCAGTACGTAATGATAAACAATGATCAGCTATATATAATAAACGATAAATACGCATAAGACCTGTATATGATGATGTTATAGTTTCAAGATCAAAATTAGTTGATGATATATTAACTTGATAATTCCCTTCATAAGATAATTTAGTAGAATTTCCATTAGAATGTTGATTTGAAATATTATTATTTGTATCTCCGCTACTACCAACGAGATTTTGAACATCCATTTGTTGATTGATATTATTATTTCCAAAATTTTTTGACAAACTCATATCTGAAATAAAATATGATAAGTCAATATAATAAATTAAAATATACATTTAAACATGCGACTATCGTTAAATTAAATACTCTTGTGTGATACTTTCGTGGACAGGAGTCTTTATCTATGAAAAAACAAAGAAGATGAATAAGATCATATTCGTGAAAGTTTTGTTTCTTATGATGAAATTTAATTGGCTCTTTTCGTTGGTGACATGGCATCCATTGTATTGAAATATTCAATGATAAATTGGAAGTGAAATATTTTCGTCACTCTTGTTGTGAATGTTGATTATACTAGTTCATCGCTACTATCGTTTTCATATCAATTAAACTGACATAAAAACGGGAACAGAAAGCTAATAGCGATAACAGTAAATAGAAACAATAACATATAGGTTGTATAAGGCGTAAAACAAAAAGTCAAAAACAAAAAGAATGCCATAATGATACACTATCCCTCCATAAGGTAATCAATAAAAGATAAGGAAACCTTAATTATCGGTATAGTCGAAATGCTAGACTAATACGATTTTCTAAGAAAAAAATGTTTCCATTTAGATCTTCGTGACTTCTGAAAAAAATCTTGACGAAATAAGAAATATCAAAACACATAAGGTTTGTTTTGCGAGATTATTCTACAACTACAAACAAAGAAATTAAAGTTTTGTGGAGTTAAAAATGAATTGGTTTGAAAAAAAAAAGTCCTACCATAAAATGGCGTTTCTTATATCTAATCGAAATTTCTATAAATTGTTTTAGAGTCTGTTATTTCAGGACAAAGATTAGGAATAATGTGAGTAGATCTAGAAATCACAAACCTGTAACCTGTATACTAATCGAAATGATACGATTATCATTAGAAATATTACAAGTCATTTACGAGTTAATTAGAACTGGCAGATACATGTACATTTTTCATGGTGAAGAAGTTATAAGAATAGTTGAAATTCAAATGAAATATATTTTTGAAAGATGTTCGTTTCAAAGGTAAAAATGCATTGGGAAGAATAGATAACAGTTATTGAAAATAAAATCCTAATATACGCCATATCAGATATTCTCATACTCTATGTTTTCGTTTTTCGAAAGCCAATCGCTATTAGTAAATGATGGCATGTCGTTTATAAACTCGAAATTGTATAACTAAACTCGATAGAAATTGTGAAAATATAATACGAGTAAACCTCAAATAAAAATTTCTTTTCTTTTCATTGAAGGATTCCTGTGTCGAAAAAATAAAGTTTAGATAATGAAGGTTAAAATAAAATCAATGGTTGGTTGTTCTTTTCAACCAATTCGATGCTATCATAAATGTCCATGTATGAAAAATTCACACAGAAAAAAAAATATTTTTTTAACTACAATATAAAAAAAAAACTCTGTGATTCTATTGAATTTCGTAAGAATGTTTTTTTTTTTTCAAATCCACTCTTATAAAAGTTTATATTTATGTAATAGTTTTTTTCATTTTAACGTTTCATCCGTCCAATTATGTCGGATTCAAATTTTCGTCGACTTCAACCACACACATTACAGTATTCGAATAATTATCGTTCATCGAGAGCATCTCATGAACCTAATTTTCATCGGAATCCTCGTTTTTCCCATGAAGAAAACAACGAAATGGAGCAAGAATCAAATCAAAATTCATATTCAACATATCACCAATCTCCTTTTCCTTTACTTGCTCCATCATCTGAACAAAATATGTTTACTTTTGAACAACAATCTTCTTCTGAACATATGAAAAAAACAAATGAACGTCAAAGGAATGATCGTCCTTTTCATCATAGTAAATTTTCTTCTAAATTACTTAGGGCAATCCAAAAGTTCTGTCGTCGTTATCTTTTTTTCTTATAGAAAGCTTGAAAAAATTTTCTTTTTTTATGAACAGATAGAACATCTTTCGTCCTATGTTTCTATCTATTTGATCATTATTCAACTAATATCATGGTATTAAAATTTCGATAAGAACTGTTTTTATTGAAAACTAGCTAGTGGCATTAGATCTTAACGGATCGGGCACTTTTGCATTTCACTTTATTATCATTTAATACGTTGTATTAAAAAAAACAAAATATACCACAAGATGCAGCGTGAGAAGCTCTATAACTTACAAAGAACAATAATAAAAAGATGAAATAGGAAAAAACCGAAGTCGTCTTTTATCAAAAAAAAATTCTTTTGCGCAGCGTCGAAATTTGCAGACTCAGAGTTTTGTTCATTTTGAAAACAAAAAGTGCAACTATAAAATAAGTGATCTTATGTAATTTGTAGAGCTTTTCACGCTGCATCTTGTGGTATATTTTGTTTTTTAATACAACGTATTAAGTGATGATAAAATGAAATACAAAAGTGCCCCATTTTTTATGCCACACCCGTTATGATCTAATATACCACCAGCTAACTTTCAACAAAAAACAGTTCTTATCGACATTTTATTATTATGATATTAGTTGAATAATGATCAAATAGCATAGAAAAATAGAACGAAAGACGTTCTATCTGTTCATAAAAAAAGAAAATTTTTTTTAAGCTTTCTATAAGAAAATAAGATGACGCCAGAACTTTTGGATAACCCTAAGTATATATTTGAAAAATAAAATCTTCTAGTTGAAAATCATTTATCGTATCGAATATGGTCAAATACAGCTAATCAACAATATTTTCGTCGATATCCTCAACAACATTTTAAATTTCATCTTGTTTGTTATAATATTTTATCACAAGCATTATTAGAAGATAATAGATTTTTATATGTTAATTGCTTAAGAAATAATTTAAAATGGTATCGAAGAAAAGATCGTTTATTCAGAGAACTATTAAGACAAGATGCTGATGTATGTTTACTTGCTTGTTTTTGAAATCATTACAAAAAAAAATATATTCTTCTCGTCGTCTTTAGATTCTTTGTTTACAAGAAATGGAAAATTATCATTATGAAAATGATTTTCGACCAACATTTATGCAACATGGTAACAAACAAAAAGTTTTTCTTTTTTTTTATAGATTGTTAATTTTTCATAATTATTTTAAGGATATGATTCTATTTATTTAAAGCGAACTGGTGATAAATCAGATGGATGCTGTATATTTTACAAAATGAATCGTTTAAGACTTATTGAAAGTAAAACTGTGCCATTTTATCAAAAAGATATTCGTATTTTAGATAGGTAAATATTCTTGATTAGTTTATACTATGATTATACTATTTTGGGTACTTCGTCGTCTTTGTCTCTAATACAGAAAATAGAAAAAGAAAACATTTTTTATGTTGAAAAATCCTCTATAAATTTCCTATATTATCTTTCTATTCAAATAACTTGCAGAAACACTAGGTTTCGTGTCACTATTCCAAAAAGAAAAAGAAAAACTATTTGCCGTCAAATATTTAGAGCAGAAGTATACGAAGAACAAGATGTATAGTTGAATGAAGCACATATTTTAATGAAGTTATATTTAAACTACTACATGACTTATCCGTTTAATTCAAACTGAATGAAAACTGTCAATATACTTGCATTCAAAAGACGGTAGTGTCATACTTAAATGGTCAACTATTTTCTGGTCTCCATTCTGTCGCGGTATACTTATAGTTGTTATTTGATCAGCAATTTACTGCGAATATATCAGCGCTAGTGCGAAGAAATTTGTGATATAGGTTAGATAATGTACAAAACAGGAACATGGAATTTAATGTAAACGTGAAGGAATACGAACGAAAGCAATGCGGCAGATACTCTAAAATATAAACTGCATCAAAAAAGTTGCAATTCACGAATGCTTTAGTTCTTCTAGAAGATAATTCAGATAGATGCAGACATCTGCCATATTCCTAATTTCGTCTATACATTTAAGCAATTGAAAAACCCGTTAGTATTAAATTTGGATTGATTGGTCTTCAAATAATCGACCATAATAAAGATGTTGAGACTATGATAAGATCAATGTATGAAAATTAGAAAATTTACTAATTTTTTCTTGCAAAGTCTAAAAAATGATATTCTTCTAAACTTCAATTTATTTTCATTCTAGAGATAATTGTGGTTTAATTGCCCTTTTTCAGCCAATAGCTCCTAACGTTTCATCAGATGATATATTTTGTGTTGCAACAACACATTTACTTTTTTCACCAAAACGTGGTGATATTAAATTAGCTCAAATACAATATTTTCTTGCTGAAATTGATCGATTAGCAATAAAAGATCCATATACAAATTCTTACTATCCAATAATTTTATGTGGTGATTTTAATGCTCAACATCAATCACCACTTATTCAATTTTTATTGGATAAATATATTAAATATGATGATTATCGTTGTATTGAAATATCTGGTCAAAAAGAAAATTCAATCGTCAACAATCGTTTTTCTTCTCAATTACCATCAAATGAACTTCTTCCATCATCATTTGTTACGGCTGATTGTCGTTTGGTATCATCAAATAATGAACCGATTTCACCAAAATGTAACAATCGACTATTATCAGCAATATTAACACATAATAAACAATTTCAATCAGTTTATGATTTAAATAATTCATTAGATGTAACAACGAATGCTGGTGATGTACCACAATTTGTTGATTATATATTTTATACTCAACAAGAAGATGATCCATATAGATTAAATTTATTAAGTCGTTTCGATTTATATAAACAAAATCAAATGATAGATATTCATATGCCGAATCATCAATTTCCTTCAGATCATTTTCTTTTAGCAGCAAAATTTGCTTTAAAACTAAGAAAGATAAATAAACAGTGATAACAATTGTATGTTTTTTGTATTATTGTTCACAACAAAAAAAAACCTATTTTTGCTTTTGTTTTTTTTTTGTCTTTAATTTATAGATGAAGAACTTTAATGAATTTTTCTATGTAAAAAAGATTGAACTGAATTCGTTGGTATCACTATATAGATTTAATAGGTATTGTTAGATGATATTACAAAAACATTGCATATCATTTATTAATGGTCATTTATTTGTTTATAATGATGATTTTGTGAGACATGTATGCAGAGATGATTAAAACAGTATGTAGTAGATAGTATTTATTACAAATGAGAAAGCATCCATAGAGAACGTCCGATCAAAAACTGCTTTTTATTTGATGTCCTCCCTCTTCCAGTTTGGTTTTAGCCGACTCTTTCTTTCGATGTAAAAAAAAACCATCCGACTGATCCTGGGCCTGATGGGCTGTAATCATTTGAGAACTGTGTGGGGTATACTAGTCATCGTATACAAAGCAACCGGAAAAGTATCTAGCGTCTTCGGGTCTATTGTCCAGTTTCAACTGAAAAAATTTCATTAAAAAAAATAAAAGTACGCTTCGACTGAGTGTGAAAATTTTGGACTTAATGATTTCTATTCGGATGTTCAGTGTCGAAAACTGTTTTCCATAATATCTTAGTTGTTCAATTGCATTGTCTTTTGCTATCTATTAAATCACAGTTAATTAATGAAGCGTTGAGAAGAAGAAATAGAAGGATTTTCCAAAGTCATAGACATCTCTGTTGCATATTATCAAATCCTAAAAAAGCCAAATCAGATTTCGAAAGAATTATTTTTAGTAGATTTCGATACTTTTCGATAGTTGAAATATAGTAAAAGTGAGTCATCATGTTGATTTGAATGCTCTTCGATGCGATAACTTTTTCTAACTTCCCCTCTCAATGCCAATTATCCTTTATAGAAAACTCCTCAGAAGATTTCTGAATATAACTTTTAATATACAATCTATGTGCTGTAAACCGTACAAAAAACGACCTTGGCCCATCGAAATACCGATCAGACTACCGAAGATTATATCGCCCATAAATTATCGGTCTTTTGGTCCTATTTCTACCATTAGTTTGCCATATAAAAACGCAGGAAAATTTGATAATTCTTAAAAAGTTCTCAAATGTGTGACGTCATCACGACTTTCTACGTATACGGAATGCGTTTTAGTCGGCTATGCCATTCACCTTGACTATTTTGACTTAGTTTTCGAGTTCCATTATTTAATAAAGATTCTTCTACAAAAATAATCATCATTCAAATGCTGTTATCAGTAGAACACTATGCAGCATTATCTGACATAGTTTACTATGAGATCTTAAACCGACAATGTCAAGACAGATAATACCAAATGGAAAGAGAAATCAGTAATTAGAAAATTAATAATAAAAATAAGCGTAAACTGCTTGAATCTGTGGTTTCACAGAAATTGTGTTAATCACTAGTTCTAATGGAAAAAAATCTGACATAGGAAGCAATGTATGGTAGAAGTCATTGAATACAAAACATTAAAAAGAGTAAACTTGAATATGTAATCAATTAACTTTTTGAAAACTAATAATAACCTAAGATTTGTTTTTCCTACAGTTTCTAAACTCTAGTTAACTAATATTACTATTAGTTCATTAGTTATTAGCGAGATTCTTTCAAAAGTGACATTGCAAATCTTTAATATATGTTTAACTCAAGAATTTTTCGTATAACTCTTACTTAAATTATTCATTAATATTTAGAAAGTTTCATTTAGTTGCATTTGACAATATTAATTTTTCTTCCGAAAAATTTAATTAATAGAATTTGATTTATTTCAATGAGAAACTATTACTTTTCAATAATATAATAGATAAACAAGTTTGAGAATTTTTTTATCTTACAAGAGAATATTTTCAACTAATTATACGCATTATCATCCAAAACTATTGAATTATCTATCATGCTAATTATGCATCTGACCGTTAGAAAATTTTCCTAGGTCTTTACATACTGGTTTTCTAGACTAACAAATATTTAAAAGAAAAATATTTTGAGTCGATTCAGATGATAGAGCAGATCGAGTACTCTACAAAATAATACCGTGTTATTGATTTCAAAAATGAATTTTAAAGAATCATAGCATCTTGAAGATTTTCACATTAATATATTGCTATGCAGATCAGTTGGGAAACGTTTCCTCATTAGATAATAGGACGAAAACTTCTTTTATCTTGTATTTACTATTATTCATAAATCTAATGGACAATCCGAAAGTTTTGAGATAAAATGTTTGCTTAAAATATAATTTTCGACGGAAAATTTCTTCGTACATTTTTCTACTTTCACTAGTGCTACTCGAAAGTTAAAGTTGAACCTTTATTGATATATCAACTTTTAGATGAAAAGCCGCTCTACAAAATGTAGTATTGAAGGTTTTTTTTTTATCTTTCGACAGATCATTTCAGTTTTTGATTCTCTTAAATCCACTGCTTGACCAAAAGAAGTTTCGTATAGAAAGGAATTCTTAGCATAGTGCCAATAATTTCACATAGATAAAAGCCACAGCCTAGTTCAATATAACATTTTATAAACAAGTGTTCACTCGACAAAACTGGCGACTCTAATTATTTTTGGCACATTCGAAAGGTAACTTATAGAGTTTAGTAAAAGTCTATCGGTTCGTCATTCATCTAATTTTGTGGACTTTTAAAAAATTCTAATCATCATTCATAATTTTTAGCTTGTCTGAGAGACTTTCAAGCAGATTAAAATCAGTAACTATTTGTGCAAAAAACTTTGGCTCACATCTCCCGTTCAAACTCATTTTTTTTTCAGATCTTTCAAAGATTACTGTACTGTTCTCGAAAACAGAAATGATATAAAAATTTCGAAAACCATATTTGAAAAGCATACAATATGCTGACTCTAACTAGGTATAGACAAGATATCTCAAGTCCCAGTAGGATCAGGATTATCATTTTCCCATTGGGAGTGATATGGTTTTTAGTCGTGTATGACTTGCATCAAAGGTCCTATTCTCACGACTCATGTGTTTTAAAGTTTATGGGTAAATAATTGAGAAATGATGACTTTAGTATTTGCCGTAACAATTTGAACACTAAAATCATTTCTTTTCGTTCGTAAACAACAGAGATGTCGAACATATAAACATGTAAAATAGACGAAGTATTAACGAATTGGAAAAACGTAATGAATCTCTAAAAGGAACAGTAGCATAGGTCGTGCAAGATATCTCGAGCGTATTGACACTGCTAGAAAATGATACTGCGCTTTTTGCTAGTACATGTATCACAAAGCGCGAAACCGGAAACAAAAGGTTGTTTTTGACCAGAACCAAAAAGGATCTATTCTGCTCATCACTAGCCCTAACTCATAGCTTCTGACTTCTTGGGAAAAGTTTCTAAGAAGCCAAAGCTAAATAAACACTTTTTTTGAAAATTTCCGATCCTACTCTTATCTTTATCTAGGTTGAATCTTCTCCAATCCATTCCAGTTCTCGATCATAGAATCATAGATTGTTAATATGTTATTTTATTTTTCTCTTGAAATAAATCTTATTTTTCTCAAATAAAGATTGTACTATTTATAAAATTCTTCTAGAATGTTCGCTTTACGTCTTGCCAGTATTTTTCGTCGTGCACCACTTTTTCTCATCCGTTCATCTTCTCTCAGTACAAGTAATCCTATTCAACAAATTCGTCCACCACAAACAACTCGTCTTGATCTTGATCAATTACTTGAAAGACTTGATGGTGAAGCTCATCGTCGTGGTCGATTAAATCCAGGTCTTGTACGTGGTGCAATGCGTAAAGCAGCTGTAGAACTTGATACAATCAATTCTACACAAGCTCTTTTACTTATTCGATGTACTGGTTCATTACTTATTAGTGAATTACCACATCAAAGACAACAAGTACTTGATAATATGATGAAAATATTTCAACAAAAACATGTTACATTTGATGTAACACATTATAATTCATATATGCGTGTATCATTACAAAATAATCATTTATTTGATCCAATGAAAATAATAGATGAAATGAAAAAAATGAATATAACACCAAATTTAACATCATTTCGTTTATTAAGTGAATGTTATGCACGACAAGGTCGATCGGATGATATACAAAAAATATTAAATGAAATGAAAATAGCTAAGTTAAATATTGAACCTTTAATATTAACACATTTATTAAGTTCCTATGCACAAAAAGGCAATGTAGAACGTGTAGAAAGTTTATTTAATCTTTTTCATGAATTAGAATTAAAACCAATATCCGAAACCTATGAACAATTTATAATTAGTTATTTAAAACATGGACAAATTGATCAAGCAAAGAAATATTTTGTAGAAAATGTATCAAAAATGGATAATGAATCATTATTTCGTTTAATTATTAAATGTGCTGAATGTCAACAAAAAGATTTATTTCAACTTGTAATCAATTCACTTGATCAAAATAGTCTTGCTGATATATGTGTGAGTAGTAGAAAATATTCTAATTTAAGAAAGAAAACGAATAGAATCACTGATAAGTTCAAGTTAAATTTAAAGCTTGTCGTTGGTAAATCATAATCCATGTGATTCAAATCAGACAAAAGCCAACAATAGTATGAACAAGCGTGCAACATGAAAAACTTACATCGATGTTTGATTTTTTTTTAGTTCAAAATTTTATTCTTCTAAAATCTTTTGTTTTCTTTTTAGATTCAATATATTCTCTGTGCAACAGCATTATTAGATGCTAAACTTGATGATTATGCTTTTCTATTAGTTGATTCATTTCCAAAACGTGATGAAACTCTTCGTTTTGATGTTATTAATTTAACTATGTTAAATCTATTAAAAATTCGTTTACCAACAAATCATTTTCGTCCATTTTCAGCTTTAACACTTGATGATATTAATAATAAACTCGAATGTAAGTTCTTTTCTATATGTCTATGACAGCTACTTATCAGACCGTTGCTCATATGACTGTGAGTATGGATGTAGAGTGTGGCAATAGATAAAGAGAAGACCATCAGAAGTACCCATATCCAAAGTCATGAACCTCTCAACCACATCCATCATCCGGCCTCTCCATCCACTACTAAGCAACTGTTCAGCTACTCTTTTCTGTCCTGGTTTATCTATTTGTTCTATCGATATCATTTAATTTAGCTTCCATAAATTATCAATGTGAATCAGAATCTGTTACTGATGAACAATTAAAAAATTTTCATCAATATGTACTAAGAAGAGCTGAAAATTTTACTGAAAAAAAAGATCGTTGGCTTGCAATTCATCAATTACTTTATCAAGCATATCAAAATTATATTCCATTACCATATATCTATGCAATTTATGATACAATGCATCAACAAGGTTATGAATATCGTCAACATTATATGCGACCACTCTTAGTAAAATTTCGTCGTATATTTATAAATAATCCACAAGAAATTGTTAATCAAACATATAAACTTCTTGATTATTTACAAAAAAATTTTTCAATTAATTATGATAATGAAATAATTGATTTTTTAATTGAATTTTTATTTGATCAATGTTTTTTAAAACCATTAGATATTGATTTATTATTTAAAAAAGTAAATATACGTTTTAATAATTATTGGTTTAATCTTTATTCATTAACATTAAAACGAATTAATATGGATTTATTAAATTCTTTAAAAATATTTCTTAATATGAATAAAAATGTACGTTTTGAATATACACCTATTATACGTGAACAAACAATGCAAGCTATGCAATCATTAATTAATCAATTATATATTGATTATGAAAAAAAAGATTATGATGAAATATTTAATCATTTAAAAAATATTATTGATTTTATTGATATTGTTAATAAACGTTTTGTTAACAATCAAAATGATATAATTTCATTAAATGATTGTGTTCTAATATGTATTGTTAATTGGTTTTTAGAAAAAGAACATCAACAAAGTATTGATTTATTAAAAAAGATATTAAGAATATTTGAACAACGCTCACAAACAATACCATTAACAAATGAAGTTAGAGAGAAACTTTATAAACAATTAGGTAATATAAAATATTGTTTAGAAGAAACGAAATTTATTAAAGTCTTGTTCATGTTTTACAAATATTTATTGATGATTTTACTCATGATGAAAATGAGATCTTTAGAATAGCAATGTAACAGTAGTAGTGCGTTGTCCATCAGCACACTGTTCACAGATGATAGCGGTACACTAGTCAATGATGGAGCAGCACAATAGACTGAGCATGTACATATAGATTTACAGTGAAGCAGAATAACGCATAATAAGACTATGGTGACCTTCATTGTCTTTCTTTCTATGATAAAAACCTGGCAGCAAAAGATTTGCGTTTAGATACTTTTTATTGAATAGAAAGAGTTTTGAGGACTATTGTTGATTGAAATGATCGTTTTATGAATGTAAACTCATAATATATTTTGCATATATTTTAAAGGTATAAAAGCATTCGATGAAATAAATGATCAATTAATAAAAAGTTTAAAACAAGATCAAGAAAAATGTATTAATACTCAACCATTTTTATCGGATAATCAAACATTATTCGATAATAGTAGTGATATATACATAAAATCAACAAAATCTACACGAAATTGGACAATACGTGAATTAGAAGATCATTTAATAGAATTACAACGTAAAAAAATGAATACAAGTGGAATAATAAGTAAATTATTAACAAAATATTGTACAGAATGTTTGGATAGTGAACGTACAATGACAATACCAGTACGAGAATCTTATATGAAACGTATATCAGAATTAGAATCAATTTATTTTGATAAAACAAAAACAACAGGTTTTCCATCATTAGGTGTTATTGCTATTTTAATTGATTATTGTAAGTTAAAAGTTTCTCTTTTCGAAAAAGAAATATTTATTGATTTTTTTTTTTTTTAAATATTGTTAAAGATTCAAGAGTTGAACTTAATCTTGATAAAGTTATTTCTTATATAAGTTTATCAAATGCTATTGATCCAAAATTTAAATTAGATCCACATAAATGTGTTAGTGTTATACGTTTACTTATACGTAAAAATTCATTTAATAAAGCAATTGATTTAATTGATTCATTAGGTTGTTATGATGTCGTACCAAGTTATATGTATCGTCGTGTACGAGATTTATTATTAGATGCATATGTATTAATTAATTTTGAACAATTTCAATATCTTGTTAATAAATTACTAATAAATAAATATGTTGATCCATCATCAATTGTACTTTCATTAATTGTACGAAAATCTTATCAAGATCATGGACCATTACATGCATTTGAAACAATTAAAACTATACTTATTCAATGGAATAATCTTGTTGGAATGTTTCCAATAATAAGAAAATTACTTCGTGATGATTGTACAGAAGAACTTAAACAGGTATAAAATTTTAATGAATTATATAAGAGTATCCATCTTCTTATTTTGAATGTTTCTGGTTCTCGAAGAGAGAACAACCGATCAAGCTGAAATTTTTACTATAGATAGAGCTGTAAAAGTAAGGACATGCGTGTTTGAAAAAAAAAACTTTGAAGTAGATCTTTGCGGCTTTCTTTTGGTAGACCTTTGTTTTTAGAGGGGCATACTCTACCGTATTACGAACCACTTCCCCTATCAAATTTTATCCTGCAGAGCAGAAACCTTTTTTTTTTTGAAGATAACTAAAATTATATCTCAGAATCAATTTTAAACTTTTCAAAAAAATCTTACTTTTTTTCTTATGAAAGAAATATGTAATGGTTCAGTGTTGAAGCCGAGGTCTCGGCTTTTAGGACCGTATAAATTCAGATAGGAAAATCAAAAAAAAGCAATCATATTTTATTTTTGGCAAATACATCCAAGTATCAATGATGAAAATTTCAACCCGATTGAAGAAAGTTAGATCGGTATCGTTATGTATCAAAATACAGGCCTACGAAAACAAAGGTTCTCCAGTAAAAAAGCTGCAAAAATCAATTTCAAAGTTTTTTTTTGGAACATGTGTCTCCTTAGTTTTTATGCTTTATCTAAAATTCAAATTCCATTTTGATAGGTTGCATCAACTAAGAAAACCAGAAACAGTGAAAAAAAAGACAGAGTATCCCTAAATATTGAGACCTATATTAATTGAATTTTAAATATGATACTATGATCGATTCGAACTAATTGTTTAACATCATATCAATTGTTTGCACCATAGAATAGAATTACAAAAAAAGCAACCTTCTGATTATACAGATAACTTATAAGAGTCATTTATCAAATTTTATAATTTGTATGTGACTGGGTTTGATGACTCGTTCTTTTTCTATAAAGAGAAAATTTCTGAATTCATTTTATCTTACTGGTAGAGTTGAAGATAATACATATAGTATTCATTTAGCGAAAAACATTTCAATGATATTATTTTTTGAAATAGTTATGTGTGCATTTTTTGGGGGGGAAGATAGACAACTAGAATTTCATTCGAGTATAAACTAAAAAAAAAGTAAAATTACTTTTATTAGGTATTAATCAAAATTGGTAAAATTCGTTCTCGTACATATGCATATGAACAATTAGCATTTGCTTTAATTCATGAACGTCGTTTATCTGAAGCTTATAAAGTTTGTCAACATATAAGTCGTTCAACATTTGAAGAACATTGTCAAAGATACGTTCGAGAATTATTCTATTTTCCATCAGATCATCCAAATCTTGATGATGCATCAACACCAATAAATAATTCAAGAACAAATGATATCTATGAAACTGATCATGTATTTGATAGGAATACAATATCTCTTGTTCATTTTATTGATTATTTTGAACAATATCCATCATATACACGACATTTATCAATTGATACATTGTTCTACAGTTTATTCCGTGCATATGAAAAAACAAATCGTTTAGATGAATTTACAAAATTAATGCGTGATTACTCATCAAAATATGTTCGATATTTATCATCAAAAACAAAAGATGCATTTAGTCAAGCTGGTATAACATTACCAATAAAATCATTATCATCACCTAAACAATCAAGAAAAACTAATATTCATAAACATGAAAGTTTCTTACAAGATCATGATTATGAAGAAGATTCTAATCCACAAAAAAATCTTTCCTAATCTATTGTTGCTATTTTTTTTTGTTCCTTGTTTTTGTTTTCCTTCTAGATTATTTTACGTCTTTCTGTTTGATTTTTATGTTATCATCTTTTCTATTAAATAAGTCACATCGATTGAATACAATTTTTACAAAAAAATATTTATCAACCATGGCAGGAATACAATTAAATACAGTTCTTTCGCAGTTAAAAACTTATGCACCACTTTATCTTGCTGATCAATCTTGGGATAATGTTGGATTACTTGTTGAACCAAATAATGATAATCCAATAGTTGAAAAACTTTTATTTACAAATGATTTAACTGAACCAGTATTAGATGAAGCTATTGAACGACAAGTTCAATTAATTGTTAGTTATCATCCACCAATATTTAGTGGTTTAAAACGTTTAACACAAAATAATTGGAAGGAAAGAATTATACTTAAATGTATAAAACATGGAATTACTGTTTATTCACCACATACATCATGGGATGCTGTTGATAATGGTATTAATCAATGGCTTATATCCGCATTTGGAATAAGTAAGAATTTATATTAATCAAATTCTAATAGAATTACAAAAATGCAAATAAACTTGCCTTCAACAATATTTTAATTAATTCATAGAACTTTCCTATAGAAATAACAAATTTTAAAAACTAACTATTACATTCATTTTTTTGTATGAGTCAATGTGACATTCAATGAAACTATTGCAGCATGTCTTTCATTTGTAAAAATGATCATAAAATTTTATTTTGAAAGTAAATGACAATAAATTCAAAGTTTAATCTAAATCTTAAAATCTGTCTGAATAATTTTGTAAAACACAATCTGAAGAAGTAAAAACTTGAACTCCTAACTGACACTGTTAGTATACGATCACGGACCGTCTATCAATCATGTCTCGTTATAATAAATGCACTACTTCCTTATTATATTTCTGTAGGATTAAGTAAATGAATGGTGAAGAGATGTATACCAAAATAGAAAAAATAAAACAATCTTCTTTGGATTAATAAGAGCAGCTTCACCATGTTTCATACTTTAATCCCAAATGAATTATGTTAAGAACTTTTTGCTCTACTTTTGAGAAAGAAACTTCTGAGTATTAAAAAAAAAAACATTCCTCTTATTAATAAAATGTCGCTTTCAAAACGGAATAAAATTTTTCAGACAGATTTGTTCAAATCAGAAAAACTGTTTGAAACAGTTATTTCACATATGTGAATTGAGATTTGATTGACTCTTATACAAATGAAAACATTTCTTTATCATCTCACTAGTGAAATCTTCCAACTATCCAATCATATTTTATTTGGAATTAGATGTGCCATGAAGACTTTGATATGTTATAAATACTCTGAAAAGGATTCAAGCCGCTGACTTATTTCGGTCGAGACACTACATTTCTACGATATTTGTAAGCATATGATCGTGATACTCTCAGAGAATCTTGGAGAGAAAATTATTTTCGAATTTTCACTTGAAGTTTTATAGAGAAAGAATCTTTTTTTTTTGATAATAGTTAATTGTAAAAGTTTCAGCTATTTTGATTATTCCTATTCTAAAAAAAGAAATAATCTCGAAACCTACCAATGTATATGAGTAGTGTAAAATAACATGCGGTTATTATAGAGATGCCTTAGAATAGAAACAACTGAACGATCTGAAACTGTCACAATAAAAGTTTTCATCTTACGGACTGTTTCTCTGCAAAATTTCAAATTGAAATTCAATTCTCTCAGTATTCTCGAAAGGTACCACAGTATTGTACTTACATATACCGTCAAAATGCAATATTTAGATAGTAATAAGTCATCAGTTCGAAACCTTTTTCAGAATATTAGTAACATATTAGGATCTTCATGAATGCAAATACAGTTGGACAGTTAAAAGACTTCTTTCACTAATTGTTTATGTTTAACTAAATCTTGTTCTGTAGTTATGTACTACAAATTATTTTCTATATACCAATTAACTGTCTTAAATTGATCGTTAGTGATCTTCACCAGCTGATCATCTACGAAATGAAACCATAGACTCAAACATGATAAGAATTAATCTAAAGCAAATAATTCATTCAAACATTATCAATGGTTCGAATGACTTTTAAGAAGTTTCTTTTTCTTTCCGATATTATCATAATCAAAACATCACATTCATTCACAAAAAGATACATTGTCATTTATCTGGCACATATTAAAAGTTAAAGAAAATTGAAAGAATCTTAAAAAAACCATAGTAGTTAAAAACATTACAATATAATTTCATCAAAGGGAAAAATTTTTTTATTAGATTCATTATTCAAAAGCACCATATTTCATAAACATTCATTAAATAAAATTAGAACATTTTATTTTTGAATTTTCTAAGATGAACAAGATTATACGTCACGTCCTATTGTACAAGTTAAAACGAATGAAACACCATCACAAAATCAGCATTTATTAACAATAACTCTCCCCAAAGAATATAATATTAATTCAATTAAAAATATAGATGGTATTAACATAATCAATGAAATATCGTAATGTTCTTTGTTTTCATAGCATACTAAATCAGAAACTTAATTTTTCTAGTTGTAATACACTAAATGGACCAGCTATTCAATTATCTATTTCATGTTCACCATGCGCTGTAAGTACAATAATAGATTTGTACCGCAATGAAGAAAATATAAGCAAAACTATTCAAATTATTGATGTTCAAAAAGTAATGAAAAAAAAAAATTGTTCTTTTTTTTCTTGACAATAAAATCCTATCTAATTGTCTTGTAGCCTTTAGATTCTCGTCAAGGATATGGTCGTTTAATTGAATTAAAAAATTCTCGTACCATTCGTGAAGTAATTGAAAATATAAAAACATTAACAGGTCTTAAATATATTCGTCTTGCATTAGCAAATAATAAAACAATAGATTCATCAATAAAAACTATAGCAGTTTGTGCTGGTTCAGGTTCAAGTGTATTTTCACAATTACGAAATGTTGATGTTCAACTTACTGGTGAACTTACGCATCATACTGTATTAGATGCTGTACATCGTGGTACAACAGTTATTTTATGTGATCATACAAATACAGAAAGAGGATTTTTAAATGTTATTAAAAAACATTTTGAACAAATATGGAATTCAAATGAAATTAAATTACTAATTTCCGAACGTGATCGAGATCCATTAGAAATCGTTTAATAGGACATCATTTTATAAGAATCATATTATGTTAACATTCTTTTCTAATACAAGTCAAGAGATCAAAGATTAATAAAAAGAAAAAAAAGATTCTATCAACATATGACTATTAGATGTATACAGTAAGTAAGTGATTCATTAGAACTTTGTGGGTTCGGAATCCGATGAAGGATCTATTGATTTATATTATCGATAAACAATTAGCTTATTGTTCATATGTTAAGTAAGAAACTGTACGATTTAGGATGTTTCTAGTCAGATGAAAAGTCAGAATGTCAAGAAAAAAATATATTTGAAAATTAGTTTTTTTTGACTTTACTGTTCTTAGTCGCCTGTAAAGTTGACTTGACTAGAGATATTCTTTTAGCTTGATCTTCTAATAGTTAAAACTTGTTTAAACCTAACAGATTTTTATAGAAACCAGAGTTCAATATCTGATTGACCAAACTTGCTGTTCTCTCTTGTAAGAATCAAATGAAACAATATAAATGAAGACCGGCTCATCAGAAATATTTCAAACTATCAGTGACAGTAGATCTTGATACCTAGAGTACAAACTATTATAGACTTCAAACTCTCAAATACTTCCTTTTTAGAAATATCTGGCTTATAAAGACTTGAAAATCATTTCGCTTTCTCAGCTGCAATATGTTCTATAGAGCTGAAGCTTCTTTTTTACAGACACTAGATAGTGTTTGGAATGCCTACTTTTTATCTCTTTCGATTCGAATAATAGGAGCAAAATATGGACCATACCTCCAAAAATCAAGGGCATACTGTTTTTCAAAACAAACAAAAAAAGGCAGTTCAAACAATGTTCAGTGTCTGTAAGAAAAAAAAAACGTTTCAGCTTGATCGAACTTACTATGTTAATGAAACGCGAGCGATTCTATACGTTTTTCGTACAAGTTATCATAAGGAGCATTTTGCACACTAAGAATGATTGCAATGCGAGTTCTTCTTATAGGAATTTCGAGAACTGGATGTAATAAAAATAGTAACTAAAAATATACAGTTCTCTTTCATATTGAAACTGACAGAGGACACTTCGAAGCTAAACAACAAAACATCGAAAAATTTTTGGTTTTAACATCCAGACAGCGAGGAAAGAAGGTCCGTTAAGAGTAATCTATTTAGTGAAATTGAATTACACATATAAACTATTAAAACAAGAATTGAAGACTTGTAATAATAGTTACAAATTTAAAGGAAAAAGAATTCCACCATGTAGTTTAATTCACAGTTACATTGATAATTCACTACTTTGACAAATAATCGAAGAATTTTCCGAATGTAACTATTTAAACATGAAAAATGAACTCATATTGATTTAGAGTAATTAGATCAGATTTTCTGTGCATTATTTTCGAATGAATTATTGTTTAAGAAGATATCTATTTTATTTGAAAAACCAAGTGAAATAAACAAATTCAATTATGACAAACAATTTGATAGAAATTAAGAATAAGAAGCCTATCTATCCGATCACAAAGGACAAAACATTAGAAAAATAATTATTCTTTGCTTAACTCTCTCATTCAAAAAACAACTCATTGAAAAATACAAAAAAGAAATTTTAGAATGCTCAGAACATTTTATCTTTTATCTTTCAAATTTTAAATATCTATTCAAATGAATGACGACCATCATCCATGTATCAATAAACTATACACATTTTATTTATCTTCGGATAGATTTTTTTCAAAATTTTCTTGTAAATTCTTGTTGTGTTTCATTGTTGAAACAGAGCTTCAAAAAATTATTTTGTATAATGAACAAGTCTATCTGTCCTAATGTAAGACTATGCACAAAAAAACTTTCATTACTAATTAAACAAAGATCAAACATCCTTTTTTTTCAACAGTTATAATTCACAATTCTCCATTCGGTTCAAAGTAATAATAAAAATGAAACTCTTTGATGAAAGCAACAAGATACATCTCGACTCGTTTTTTCCCTTATCGCTTTACATTTTTACCGGTGTTTAATCAAATACCGAATGACTATTTAGTTCAATGTTGCACTTCTCTATGAATATAACTAGTCTGTTTGAAATTTCACTTCCATGATAAATTATATATCTATCTACCAAGAACACAATTTTTGTCATTTGCATTCACTAGTGTATTTTCATCTGAGTGCACATGTCAAATTAAACAACTAATAATTTATAAATATATCGAGAAACTTTCATTTCCGAAATGTTGTCATCAATATTTGTGCTATCATGCGTATGCAAAATGAGTTATATGTAACTTCTTTTTTTCCATTTTTGAAACATAAAATATAAATTTATATGCACATATGATATTTTGATTGATAATAAATATAATTTAGATTATCATTTATTTCAAAAAACAAAGAGCATGACTAGACATTACACACATAAAACAAACATATTGTACGTTTTGTTTTACCTTAAAACGAAAAAGAAAAAGAATCAGTTTTTTTTATCACTTTGATTCATCGATCTTTATCGATGGTTTTAATAGTTGCCATTGTGCATTAAGAGATTGACCAGATAATACTGTTGACCAATAAACATTTTCTGGACATAGTGGTCCTTTCATTGTATGATTAATAACAGGACCAAATATAACTGAACCAAGTTGTTCTTTATATGATAATGATTCATGTACAAGACGTAATTCAATAGTAACTTCAGATGCAATATCACGACGTAATTCAAAAACAAGTTCTTCATTAAATGTTGGACAATCTGATGTACGTTGTACACTAGTTTTTTTACGTTTCATTTTTTTTCCATTACGATCATATAATGTTACTTTAACACAAGCATCAGGATATGGTTTTGTTTCAATTGATAATGGTCGTAAATTTTTAGCTTCAATAATAACAACTGCTAATTTAGCAGCACTCTGTAGATAAGACAAAGATACAAGTAATTCGCCTAAATCAGGATCCTAAAAAAAACAAAACGAACAAGAAAAAAAATATTCTATTGATTTGAAGAAAAAAAAAAATACGAAACCTGTATGATTGATGATGAATCACATTCCTCTAATGGTTTTTTCATACGACTTTGATCCATTTCAGATAATTCATTTAAATCATATTTAACTGTACCTATACGAATATCTTTATATAAAGGTTTAATTGTACTTATTTTATATAAAAATATTTCAATAGAATGATTATTTAATTGATCATAGGATAATTCAAATTCATTTAATTGTTTTTTATCAAATAAATATGATGATTGAAGACGTGTTAAACGAACAATTTTGGTTTGAAATAAAGTACGTTTTTCTGGTAATAAACGAAAACGACAATAAAATGATATAAAATCAATAGTATTATTATTATTATTAACATAACTATCAAGAAGTTGTAAATTTTCAAATGATAATGTATCAATAAAAACATGTTCAATATCACGATCATAACTAATAGTTATACGAGATAATGGTCGTGTTAATTCATCTTCATTTGATGGATTTGATGGAAGATTTGCTTTCTATTAATTACAAAAATAAAAACAAGACATTGTATAGAAAACAAATACATTGTAGAATTTATCAAGTTCGAATTTAGATTTAATGAATTCTTATTTATTAAATAATTGTTCAAACGAAATGAGTGAATTCTAAATTTTTGAAAACCTCATAACAATTTCCTGACGTGTCGAAATTGATCAATATTGATTTATAAATAACAGCAATCAATAATAGTCTTTTTATAGTTATTAAAATAAATTCTTTTGACAGATTTGTTATTCTACATCATGTACATTTTTTAGAAAACTTTGTAATCATTTGGAATTTTTTCGATCAACTAGAATAATGCAGAAGTTTAAATCCAAAGAAGAAAACTTTCTGAAAACTAATGCTGTATGTCCTATACAAATACTTATGGTATGAAGTCAACTTACAGCAGCTGCAGAAGCATATAATGCTTGTTGTAGTTCTTTTGGATCAATTGGGTCAAACATCGATGGGCGTCGTCCTCGTGTTTGTGAAGACATATTTTTATCTAAATTATGAATTTTTTGAAAATTTAATATCAATATTATTATAATATCTCTTTATACCACTATTAGGTGATGCTGAATTATTTGATTGAAGACTAACACGTGGTGATGATGATGATGGACCAACGGTAAATTGTGTAGGTGGTGTGCCTATCAATAAAATAAGATAATTATATAAAGAAAAAAAAAACATTTTTTTTTTCATCCGATTTAATTTTGAATGCCGCACAAGTTTTATTAAAATTGTCAAGAAAGGGAAAAAAGAGCTTGACGAGACTTTCTCGTCATTGTCGTAGACGTTCTCGTTCTCGGATTGTTATATGTAATGAAATGAAGACGCATATGCTCATTTACATGAAAAAAAAAATGTTGGGGGTGTAGTGCGGATCCTTATCAATATGTTTTGCTATCGATTTCTACTCATGCAAATAATGATAACTATATACACGACATTCATCGATGAATAATGAACTATAGTTGCTCTATGGTTTTTTTTTATTCTATCGGTTTATAATAATAAATAGCAGATTATTTCACTGACAAGTTGACATCGAATCAAAACTTACAAGTCATTGAATACTGCTGTGAAATAATCTGAGACATGAGAATAATTATAATCTTTTTCTTTCGTTATCGATATCGTTTTTTTTTTTCTTTCTTTTTAAATTGTATTTAAAATAGAATGATAGTAAAAGAAAATCAGTATCCTGAATTCGTTTAAAACTTTCCCAAAGGCATACTAAACTAATGAATATACATTAAGTCAATGCCAGAAATCAAATGAATACAAAACATCAAATCAAGATTGTTGCTCGATATATATATATATATATATGTTTGAGTGTGTAAGAAACAAAAATGTTCATTTCTTCCGGTAGAGATAATTACAAGGTAGTTCTCCTTCTTCATCTCCACTTTCTTTTGATATATTTTCAATACTTGATTCACACAATTGTAACTTCCGCTTCTCTGATTCTTTATATGATCTATTTTGATGTAAAATCTTCGTTGTTCTTTGAAGTTCTTTTATGTATAGTCAATATAATGAAAGGAACTTCTTTTACTGAAGGATAAAATAAACGCTAAAGATAATATGAATTTTCATGGTTTTCTTTTTTTTTTCTCTCTCCCTTCTCTCTCTAAATTAGATCCTTAGATTTATTATATGACATGTTAGAAAGAATAGGAAAAAATAAGCGATCCATTTCAATTCGACTTGATCAATAACGATTGCTTCTATTACAATGCAGATCATATTTTTTGTTTCGATTGACAGTTAGATCAAGGTCAAATATATAAAGATTGAAAATGTTAAAAAAACAAAAAAAAAAAAAAAGAAAATATCTTCTTACACCTACCGGATGTTGATGAAATATGATTTAATGAACTAGGCAAAAAACTCGAATTCGATAATGATAAATTGAGCGATGATGAATGAGCATCATTATATGGTGATCCACTTACGGAACCACCGCTAGCACCTAAACTGTTTACACTATTATTATTATTATAGGCAGAAGTTCCTGCTGTCGATGACAATGAGAGACGTTGTAATGGAGAAATTAATGCTTGTTCGATAGTTTCATCAACTATAGCCGAACGATATTGACGATGATGATGAGCTGATGCATGAATAGTAAGAGGAGCACTTAGACGACGATTAATACATTTATTGATATTTGATGAAAGAAAATTTGAGTTTGAATTCCCATTCTTATTACTATCAATTTGCATCGTTGTTTGTTTTGTTATGGCACGAGGTGATGTTGAACATGATAGACTCGTATGTGCAGTTAATTGAGATAGTTTTGTTGTTGTAGGTACTGATGATTGCGATGATGGTGTTAATGATGATATAACTACTATACTTTTTCGAGAATCCGGAATTGGTGATGATGAACAATCATTATCAGAAGTGAATGAAGTAAATATACGTCGAATAAAAGAACCCAATTTAGCCATATTTGTTTGTCAAACAATACAATAATAAATATTTATATATATGAGCTGTTCCTTTTTATTGTCTTCAAAGTTATCTTCATTAATGAAAATAATCATTCGAGAATTGAATAGGAAACGATATAATAATCAATGAGGTTTTTATGTTAGCCTTTTATGTCTAGTCACACAGGTGTAAGACTTAAGTTAAAAACTAAGAGAACGAAAACGATGATTGTTCTCAGTTTTTTTTTTTCTTGAGCTACGATCTTTCTCTCTATTCTATTTTATCATACTTCTTTTTCATCCGTTTTTTCCCTCACTCCTATTCCCGTTGGAGGAATAACAAGAAATAATCATAGAGGAAACAAACTGAATAGTCATGATGAGAACGGACTACGCTCGAACGAGAATAAGACTAAATTGTGTGTGTGTGTGTAGCTTCATCGTCGTTTATGTTCTGTATTTCTTTTCTTTTTCTTCGCCTTCATTTCCTTCTTCTTTATATTAAACGACACCTCTTTTTTTTTTTTTTTTGAAACTATATAACATGACGATCATCACTAAGAATCTCATGTAATTGAAGATTACAGTGATACTGTCAAGTGGCTGCTTATGTCACTTCCAACAGGCTAATTCAATTCTGTAGTTTTGATAGGAACGAAAACATGTTATTAAGTACTCAACTTCCGAATGAAAACAACAATAGCAAAGAAACGATCTATAGACATGCATTGGAATGAATGTTCATACAGATCGAGTCACATACGAAGAAAATACGGAAATAGATAAAATGCATACTCTACAGATATTTATATCTGAAAGTCGAGATAAAGACAAAACAAAACAAAACTATGATGAAGAAAAAAAAAATGAATAACTAATTTACGTGACATTCTTGTTGCGAAGGAACCAAACGAGAAATTCCATCTGCATTTCTGTTTTCTTTTTTTTTTTTCGACGATTTAATCTAACAATGGAAGTCGTGTAAATAATACAAGAAAATAGTCTAATTCAATTGTAGATTTATTTCTATGTTTAAGTGAATATAATTATGTTATATCGAAGAAATCTAACTATATGGTTACTGAAGAATAAAAAAGACTTGACTATTATATTCACATTTATGACAAAAATGAGAACAAAATTGTCGTTATTATTATTTATTAATGAAAAATGTAGGATAACAATGACAAAAGCTTTTATAAAACTATAAAATAAAACAAAACATTCATATTTTCAAACTCTGAATAAACTCATGTGTCAATTCATTAAAAATAGCAAAAACAATTATTTTATTCATTTAATTCTCATTATTTCAAAATTGACCTATCACATGTGAAAAATAACTAAATTGAATGAAGTTTTTCTTTCTTTTTTTTTTGTTTCATCTCTAAAGACAAAAAGTAACACACAAAAGGATTTATGTTTACCAATTTCCGCTTTCAAATATTTGATAAAGAGGTCATATTCATTGACCTTATGTAATTTAAATTCAGAAGAGAAATGAAAACAGAAAGGTAAAGATTCTTATATAGTAAGCAAGATCATTTAAAATAAGCATCTTTTAAGTTAAAAACTCGATTTCAAACAGCTTGAGACATTCGATAGATTAACATTTTTGTATTCTACAATCAAATGTTATCTATTACATTTATTTCGTTCAATCAATATGTTGAATATTTGGTTATACATCATTCGTACATATCAATAGTCTTCATTTATATAATTTATTACTGTTGAGTTTTTTTTCTCTTGTAGATAAGTAGAAGAACAAGGCATTAGTCAAAAATCAATCATACACAACTTACCAATAGAATTGTAATGCTTTCGAGATAGCATATGGGCATTAAAATGAGTTGTAATTTGTTCTTCTGAAGTACCTTTCTGATCAAGTACTCGAGTTAATCGATCTATTGTAATACCACGTCGACGAATATCAGGCGCTGAACATCGACGTTCTTGTAAATAAGTAAATTGTCTTTGTCGTTCATTTTCAATTTCGTTAATATCTTGTTCAATAAATTTATTACTATTTCGTATAACAAATGATGACATACGTTGAAAAAATGATTCCATCTAAAAAAAAATGTATAAATGTTTCTTTTTTTTTTCTACTTCCTTCTCGTTAGTTTGCTTTATGAGTACATTCTAGAAGAACAAATCAGTAATTCAATGACAGCAACGAGAGAATAACGGAAGTCACTTATTGTACAACAACTTTCTTGCCGTCTATATATATCCTTACGCAGATGATGTCGTCGAATATCCGGTTTATCGTTCGTTAAAAAAATATACATACGCAGATAGAACTGTTTTTTTTTCTCTCGTCAACGTAAAAAACAAATGTGCTTGATCTTATAGAAACGACATAAAGCTTTTTAGATATGTCGATTTTCTTTTGACAACAAACCGCGAGGGATTCTACTATTACCGCTGTATTGATTTCTCTTTTTCTCAATCTCTCTTCTAATACAAGTTTCAGCAATCACTGTGATAGGCAAGAGCACAAATGTGTGTCTTTAATATATAATGGCACGAAAAAAATCGTTTTTTTAACCACTATTTACAGATATTATCTGATTACGTGAGCTGATTCAATTTTGAGACATTATAACTGTAATAGGATACATATATCTTATTTAATGTTAATCAATCTGAATATGTGACCTATTGCGTATATATTAAGAAATAGAAAAATTTCATTTTATTTGTACGTAATAATGATAACCTGTATTTCACTTTTTTGTTTCTCAATTCATATTATTTTCTTTTATCGTAGATCGATGACATTATTTGACAGCTGAAGAATAGCGAAGAGATAATTAAAAAAAGATAAAAATGAAATATATTTCGTCTTTTTTCTATTCCCATATGCTCTATAGAATATTGACAAGTATCTTAAAAAGTATTATTGGATATCCGATTTTTCTTTTTAGGTTTTTATTCATATTCAACATCAAACAATCATGCGATACTTACAATGAAGATGAATAAAAATCTTTTAGAATGTGTTCTTATGGATGAATGAATGATAAATAAACGAACAAATCTATATGCTGTTTTTCGATTGCCAGATAATATAAACTAATCTAGACTATTTCATCGTTAAGAATTAGATCCTATCGTCGAAAGCATACTTGAATTTGTTCGTTAGATAAGAGTCGTTTAAGTCAAAAAAAGAAGAGAGTCACTGAGGAAAAGACGAGTCTATCCCGATTGGATGAATGTTTGGTCTTGTTAATAATGTTTGATCAATTACGTGCTCACACATATGGTAACTAGTAATTTCTGTCAAAGATTTTTTTAGCATGTCACAGTATTAATTAAATGACGTATTGACAAAAAAGCGAACTTCATAAAAACAAGACTAGGAGGAAGTAACTGATTATAATTAGCTGTTTTCATTTTGAAATTCACAGTGAAGTTTTATTTTAATTTTATTATACATCTGATATTCAATTAGATTATAAATCAGAAAGACTCATTAAAAGAATATTTATTCATTATCCTTTTGAAAAGAAAAATCTACAAAGAAATGTAGCATATTCATTTATTAATAAAAAATTTTAGATATTGTTCTGTTGAGTAAGTATCCTTGTTCTTGAATATTAATGAATTTGTTTCTTGTAAAATATCGTCATTTATGATTAAGACAATCTAAGGATTAAAGTAAATGTATCAATACTCATACTCTGCAATGCGATAATAGAAGACACGGTGTCTAGTACAAAAATGTTTTTGGAAAAATGTCTATTTGATCAAATGCCCTTGATTACAAGAAGGCCGAAGGTGTTGCTCGTACTGCTTGTTGTTTTATGCATAAGTCAGATTAATTATGTTTTTGTTTTATTTAAAATTTCTCGTTAGTTTGTCAGTAAGAACAAGAAAAAGTAAAGAATTGCCGTGATAAGATCGTTTGATTGTTTGATTTTACGAAAACATGCATTATTAAGTTCTTGAATGTTGGTTCTTTAATCTTCCAAGTGAAATAGAATGTTTAATAAAAGAAAATTGTAAGATCTATGTGAATATTTTTAACAAGATCTAAGTTACTTATTCAATGTATTGGAAATCAAGAACGAAGTGGAAAAATAACATTGATATGGTTATTAAGAATCTTGCATGTGTTATCTATCAGTTGAGTACTAAAGTAAATGACTGAATTGTTTAGAAACATAATTTTATATGAATTAATCAGCGGCTTGAGATGTTGCAAATGAACAGAATCTGATCGTTATCGAAAGAAATATTGCTTTGATATATGTCTATTGTTTTGTGATCTAGAAAAGAAAAACAGATGTAAAAGTTTTTCCTCTCCGAAGGGAATCATTTCAAGTGATTTATAGCTTTTGAGTACGGATCAAGGGAAAACAAGTGAAAATTATCTACGTCATTCTATTTCAAGGACAGGTTTCAGCTTTTTTCAAAAACTTCTTAGATATTTCTAGTGTGTTATCAATATATCTTATGAGCATATTAGTTTAGATTCATTTCCTAAAAATCTTTTTTCATAATAAAACTGAAATACTTCATCGCACTGTGTCAATAGAGTATGGATGAAGTATTTCGGTTTTATTATAACAAAGATTGTTAGACAATGAACTTAGACTGATATGTTTATGAGACATATTAACAGTAGACCAGAAATAGTTAAGATGATCTCGAGGACAACTACGATATATCCTTGAAGTATAGGATTTTTGCATCCTTCGTGTTAGTTCGAAGTTTATGTATAAGGTAGAATATTGTAAGCTATGAAAAATCCTACCAGAATGAGTGGGTCCGAGTCTTCTTTCTCTCCAAAGTCATAGTAATTTTATTGAAAATTCAATATATTGCAAGACAGTTTGACCTAAAACTTTGCTCTCTGACAGGCTTAACTTTAACTAGAATACTATAGAAACTGCAGCTGGCAAGAACATTTTGTTCATAAGATATTGAATTTCGACAAAGAATATTAGATTATCATATCTTTTGTGGAAAATGAGTAGTTATTGGAAACTCAATACCTTACGAATAGAATGTTCTTTGAAGCTGTAGTTTTCAGCACATTCTAATTGGAACTACGTCTATCGATGAGCAGTACTTAATGTGAAGCTACCATGTCATAGACTTACATTTCAGTAAAATTGCTATGGCTCTCGAGAGTAGTCAGCCTAAGAGCATATATCTGGTTACAATTTTTCATATTTGATCTTGAATCCATATTATACATAGACTACAAAGTCAAAAATGATTAATCACTTGAGATGATTGCTTTGTCAATGTCAACTGATTTTCAACATCATCTAAACTGCAATTACAACGGTACATATAAATTCTCATAAAAAAGAACACCATTTGTTTATTCTTTCGATAGTATACTTAAATAGCGAACAAATTTGAATGAGAAAAAGAAGATCAATATTATTTTAATAAAGAATAGAATTCATTGGAAAACGAAATAATGAATGTTTATACGTTGTTGCATATTGGGAAATTTTCTTCATTTTGAAGTTTTGAGAAAAAAATTTTTTTTCTTCATAAATGAAAGTAAAAAGTTTGTACCATTTCTATAATTTATTCAGGAGTGCCTGAGCCGAAGGGGTACATGTATGTCTCTCCCACAGTCTTGAAAAATTTTCGTTTTTCTTTTGTGAAGCTCCAGCATTTCAATGCGTTTTTTTGCTCATCAATATCCTAAAGAATGTTCTATCCCCTGTTCCAATCTTCCGCAATATCGATATATCTCTGAATTTATTTATTGATACACAATAATAAAACAGCTAGTTTCTTTCCTTCTTATTCGATAGTATATAATTCATGTGAACTCAACATTGCTTCCATTGTTAATAATCTGTAAACATCATTTTCTTTGTATAATTATATATATATTAAAATAACTTTTTTCCCCGTTCGTCTTCTCATCAATCAGCTTTGTTTTTCGATATTTTATAACAGAATGAGTTTTTTCTCGAAATTGTACGCTTCGTTTGAGTATTAGTTGCTGTACTTCGTAGCAAGAGATGATACATATAGATATTTGAAAATTATTTTAAGATACAAGTTTTTCATGAAAAAGCTAAAACAATAAATAATTGATACATATTTTGTAAATAACTATTTGAATGTTTTTCGTTGCATATGAATGAATATGTTATATTTTTTTTTTTATATAACAGATTTTTGATAGCTTTGTACGAGCCTTCATATGTTACGAATAAAAATCGTTGAGAATCATAGAGCATAGTGGAATACAATGAACTTTGACAAGGATGAAACTGCATTTTCAATTGCAGTTCTTGTTTCCTTTTTGATCGCAACAGGTTAGTTATGTTTGTTGACAAGATCAGTAAAATAAAACCATCTGTTTTCTGTTGATAAATATTAAAGAACAAAATAAAACATCTTCGGATAATCTTAATAAACATTTTATATTGATAAAAGTAATTCTACTAATTTTCATATTGTTATAAAATTACTCAAATATTTATTCATAACTATATAAATAATTAAATACAAAACTAATGGAGATCCATACAACGATAAAGAATATTCTAGTTGTTTTGATTGTATATCTTTTCAATAATGAAGTAATCTTTTTTAGTGTCAAAATTAATGACTATTATTAAATCTTGATCAAGTTTCAAGTTTTTTTTTTCTGCTAATCTTACAAATTTTTCATGGTTGTTGTTTTTTAGCAGTCTATAACTCATAGAAGATATACAGATTCTTATCAAAATAGGTAAAGCACGTGTTTATTTTTAGTAAACCAAAAATAAGTTTTAATGGTTGTTTGACTATTTTACTAATACTTGAATCATTAAAAAACACAAAAGAAAAAAAAAAGCACGACACATTTTCTTTAAAAATTTTGAACTAGAAATTTCATTGATTATTAACTCTATTTTCTTGCCTTGTTTTCTATAATCTCTCAAGGGAATAGTAGGAACCATTGTTAAATATAGATAAAGTCAATATGTTTTAAGATTATTGAACCCGAAAATGTAATTAAATAATTTTTCTCTAAAAATCCTATTTTTATGTTCATTATTTATTTATTTCTTTTGAGTTTTTATATATTTAGTATAGTCATCTTAGAGGTTTACATTGACTAACTTCTCATTTTATTTATTTTTTCTATATATCTCGAGCGTTTGATTGAGTAAATGAATGAGTATGTAAGTGAGTGAACGAGCGAGAACTCCGATAAAGACATGTTTGTCCAATTTACAGACTCGTCAGCATACTCTAATTTGTTCAATGCCGCGTCTTCCACATCATTATGGAGACGACATACAAAAAAAAACTTCCTCGTGCTATTTCTGCACGAGCAACATAGGGAAGCTTTTTTTTCTCAGGATAATGTCCTCTCTTCTGCACTCTCTACTCTTCATCTGAATGAATGTAAAAGAGAAGAGAAAAGATTTTTTGCTAATGTGATTCCGACGACGACCGACCGAAAGAGATGATGATTTATTATAATCAGGGAAGAGCAAGCGATCTATAATGCATAGAGAAATATATAATGGGTTTGACGAAACTCATTTTGGTAGTGTTAGTTCATCGGAATATTTCTTTTCACTATCAGTACACAATTTAAATAATAACAATAACAACAACAAAGAAGAAAGAAACCTTGCATATATTTAAATGTAGAAATTATTGAGTCGCGTGAGAGATGTTCATTGTCATGATTATCTTCATATGATCATGATTGAAAGAAATCTTTTTTCATTTTTTTTTCTCTATCTGTTTCCGTTATAGTTTTTTTTGATTCTTCTTGCACATATTGGAAACATAACAAAAGAAGTCGAGGAAAAAAAAGAAAAGAAATATGAATCGGTCGTTGACAAGCAAGGCAAGTAGAGAGAATAGACGCTAAAGATAGTGTCGATTGTGCATAATTGTGAATATTCTCTTGCACTCTCGTCGATTTTTTTTTTCAATGTGAATGAGAGTCTTTTCCGTTTTTCTTTCTTCTCGCCTATTGCGCGTTTAGCATAAATTATCCAAGGCGACAGAAGCAGCGAATTTTGTATTTGCATAAACAGTATCATCATCATTTTCATTCTCTCTCTTTTTCGTACGTACTTATAGTTTGTTGTCGAGATAACGTTAATGAGCTTTTTATTCTTTTTTCTTTTTTTTCCTTTCTTTGACTTAGAGTGGTTTCTTCTTATTTCTTTAATTTATGTGTTTCTTTAGAGATTTTTTTCTCTCTCTCTCTCTTTATTATGGTTATATATATATAAGGGTGGGTGCGAATCTCACTTATGCGTGTAGAGATAGATATGCGCATACACATATATACAATTAAACTTGCACCTGGTTCGAATTTGACTTTATTTTGCGTACCAGCAAACAACGAAAGTCAATTTATATTTTGTCTCGTTCCGCCGCTGCTGTTGCCTATCTATCTTTTCGTTTTTGCGCATAAAATATAAAGCATAGCTACTACCATTAAATACTAAAGAACAAAAAAAAAATTGTGGAATCAAATTACCAATGGGACAACGAGAGGAGATGGTGCTTACTTACTCGTTTATACTCTAAAGTGATAGAGTATGTGTGGTGTGTTTCACATTCTCGAGCGCTCGCGATAAGAATACATAAACAGTCTAAATTAAAAAGAGAAAAAAAAAAAGAGAGACATAAACAATTGATTTTTTAAAAATAATGTGTATGCGTAATTTTTTTCCTTCTTTTTAGAATAGAAATATATTAATATATATGACACTTCCGACTGCTTCCGAAAAATCTCGAATTCCAGAAGGTATTTATTATGATTATTTTTTAATTAGTTTTATTTATGTTAATTTAATTTATTTGAAATTTTAGCTTCTTGTACATCTTCAAATGAGCAAATAAATCCATTTTATTCAACATTTTTTTCTAACCTCACATCTCAACAACAACAACAATTATTTCTTACTCAACTTTTACTTTCTGGTAAATATTTATATATATATATATATTGAATATTTAATTATAAATTAAACTCAATTCATTTTAAGGAGTTACTGGTCCTCCATTAAATCCACTTACAAATGCATTACAATTTCTTCTTCATAACAGTGCACTTTTTCTACAACAACAACAACAACAAAATTTTCGTAAATTTTTATTAAGATAAATATTTTTTTTTATTAAATTCTTATTCTTTCAGCATCGAGTCCAATCCCACCATTCATTGATAATAATAAACCAAAAGAATCAATTTCATCTATAAGTGCAAAACATAAAAATGATTTAAATACATTAATACCTATTGATTGCAGGTTAATAAATAGTCTTTTATTTCTATGCATTTTATGTTCTTTTTTTAAATAGTTTATCGGATACAAATGAAAAATCAACATTAGACGATGATGATAATTCACCAACAATTGCAACAACACTTGCTACATTACCTATTAATAATAGTGAGATTATTATAATCCAAATCCTTTTTTTATTCTATTCATTCTTTCTTTTCTCTTTTTATATGTAGACGAAGCATCAACAACGATTGATGGTATTAATTTAGAAGAAATTAAACAATTTGCAAAAGCTTTCAAATTACGTCGATTAGCATTAGGCCTAACTCAAACTCAAGTTGGTCAAGCATTAAGTGTTACACGTGGACCAGCTTATAGTCAATCAGCAATATGTCGTTTTGAAAAACTTGATATCACACCAAAAAGTGCTTCAAAAATAAAACCTGTACTTGAAAAATGGATGCGAGAAGCTGAATTAAAATATGGCGATAGGTACGAAAAAAAAAAACTTGAAATTTTAATTTAAAATAATATTTTTTTATTATTTTCTTTGTCATAGACTAAAAAATGGTCCAACAAATTTACAAGATCTTGTTACTGATCTTAATACAAAAAAACGTAAAAGACGAACATCATTTACACCTCAAGCACTTGAAAAATTAAATGATGCATTTGAATTAAATACACATCCATCTGGTACAGATATGTCAACACTTGCTCAAGAATTAAATTATGATCGAGAAGTAATTCGTGTTTGGTATGAATTTATATTTTATTTTTCAAGAAAAAAATTAAAAATCTTTTTTTTTTTCTAAATTATTCATAGGTTTTGTAATAAACGTCAAGCATTGAAAAATTCAGCAAAAAAATTTAAATCTAATCAGATAAATGAAGATAATGAATCAACGTCTAGTTCATTAGCGGATAATAAATTCAGTGATACAACAAATTATTCAAAACTTCAACAAGATGAAATTTTATCATAAGATTTATTTTTCTTTGAAGCAATCAAATCATACGTTCTTCCATATTTAATATAAAAATTTATATTTATCATCGACTTAAACGGATAAATCAACGAGCGTCTTTTTTTTTTCTTATAGAATGCACAATATATTTAACTATTGTCTTTCTTTATGTGTATTTCCTTTTTTTTCTCAAATTTTAATTATATAATATTTAAAAGAAAAAAAAATTTACTTCAATTATTTTGAGATAGAAATTTTTATTCATAATGAGCTAAAACTAACACAATGATATCATTCTCTATTTAATTTATTTAGTTCTTACTCATAAGACTATCAGTAATGATAAGGCAACATTACTCAGGTAGTTAGTATCTTACAATCGCGTTAAAATGTAGTCGTAATTATTTACACTTCAAAATAATAATGACATTGCTGAAAAATTATTCATAATCATATTACACGAAAACAAAGTACCGTTATTTGCCATAGGGAATATTATACACATGCATAGAGGATCATTTCTAATTGAATTGTTTTTTTTTGTGTGCATTCATAGTATGAGATAAGTTGAATGAATATCTTTCATATTTAGATAACTGTCGTATGTTTAAAAAAAGAAATTATTAAAAAACGCATCTTAAATGTTAAATAAAGATTGTTAAGATCTCGCCGATGATTTATTACTAAACAAAAATAATACTGTAATTAGTTTAAGATTCCTCACTCAAAAACCGATATCACGCTGAGTACATTTAAACCATCTGAAATTTTTCGGATATGTTGGAACTGTAGTGAAAAGGCTATGCTAAAATTTTCAGCTCTATACCATGATATTTGAGAGAAATACTCATCAAACAAGCGTCAGAAGTAGCTCATTCGGCAACTCAACATTCACTATTAACATACAATTCTATATAATTAATTTTCTTTTTTTATTTTAAAGAGCTCTTTTATTTAAATTATTACTTTTGACGTGAAAAAAACGAGTGATAAATTGAAAGCCTAGCAAAGTACTTTCTATAAATGGGAGTCTATTTATATAAGTGTTTGTATACATATTAAAAACAAAGCTAAATTAAAAAAAATGAACTCATTGTACTCTGCATTTTTATATGCTGTTTCAAACAAAAGTTAAACTAAATGTATAGAATGAGAGTGCGCGGAGTATTCCAAGTTGCGTAATCAAACAAGAGTGCGTAGATAAAAAAAACGACGAAAAATATCTTCTGAAAAAGAAATTTTACGATATTTTAGCATTTTCAGGCACTTTTGTATGATGCATCTAAAAAGTATAATCATCCACTGTTATATATACTTTTGAATTGTGTATGAATACACTTCTCTTACGACTTTTTTGAACTTCAATAAATAAATTGTATTATTTTCGATGACAAGAACATAGTTGACTTGCTCAAAGGTATTCTATTAAAATTAACTGTAAGTCGTCTCAGACCTAGGCATGAGTGAAAATAGTTATTTTTGAGTCTCGGTTCTAGCCGAAAAAAGCTTTTGTTTTCGATCCTGATCTAACAAAAATTGATTCTTGTTGTGCTGCAACCGAAATCATCTTGCCCATATCTATTTAGAACACATGAGTCGTGACAATAGGACACTGCACGGAAGTTTTACACGATTATGAAAGGTGTCACTGCTAATGAAAAATTATTAGTCCTGACCCCACTTCTACGACCATCTTGCTGATGCATACTCAGCCTTCTTTTTTATTAAAAAATTATATTCGTCTCAAGCATTTTGCATATTTATAAAACGTAAAACGATAATTATAATTTATAAATAGTCATGAGAAAGAAAAAGAGAACGGATAAAAATAGCGTAACAGATGGTGGATTGTTATGATATATGTTGATCACACTACATCATGTTCTTTTTCTTCTGTTTTCTTTATTTTGTTCTTCTTTTCTTTTTCTCAAGATCGTTGGATCGTGTCTTTTTGATTGCGGACATTTTTCCTTGATTAGAGAAAAAAAATGTCCGCAAAGTAGACTCGCAGACATGAAGACAAAAGTGGCTGAACATTGGAAAATGTCCATAATGTGGAATAAAACAGAGAACAAAGGAAAAAATAGGCACATTGTGGAAAAGATTTAGCTTGGTTCTTCAGCTAGATTTGTCAACAGTGTAAAGCTAACAAATATTAGATACTCTTATATGTTTCATGATTTTTTGTACTTTTTTCACATAATTAATCTTGTCTTGATTTTAATATGTGGCTATTTTTTCTCATCTGACTAAAATGTGTCCGCAATCCGCATGTGTAACCTGTTGGATGACCTTTACTTTTTGTTCGAACCATGATAGAGTTTATTAGAATGCTTATTAACAATGCAAACAACTGATAAGCTTTTTTTAAAATGAACAATGACGGACATTATCAAAAAGTTTTCAAAAAAAGCGAGATGCCGATTTTAAAATCATATTTTTTCTAAAAGAAAAGAACTTAGACTGTTTTTCTATGCATTTATTTTAATTTTCATTTATTTGACAAAAATTGACTTCTTTCAGGAAGATCGTTTTAAAAGGTATTGAATTCTATTTGACGAGATTATTTGTAAAGTCTTATTTCTAGATATTCATTTTTTGTATTATTCCAGCTTTTCTTAAATGACTTCATCAGAGTATATCATGTCATTGATTACAAATAGACAAGTTTCGTCAACACATTCACTATTTGCTTATCCTTTGATATAATCAATCGCGTTCCTTTTCCAACATGAAGAATTTTCATCTGTAGAATTCTAGCTTCAAATAGAATGTATATTTATTTATTTCTAATACAGGAGTAATCACTACGATGCATCATTTATCTTTTATGTACTAAAGAAGCGAATTTATTATTGTGTTTAAAAATTAACGAGCGTAGGTCCTCAAGTGTGAATCTGCGTTTTTAAACGGCTTTACCCCAGTTTGTAGAGTTTATTGAACCAATCATGATAGCATAAAATGTTCTTCACCATATACTATCTTTGAGGAGTTAAATCAGTCTCAACTTCATACAAATGACTGTAACCTGTTATTTCAGAAATTTTAATCCACATGAATAGACGTCCTAACCGAGTCTATACTTGAATAGTCCAACATCATTAATTCGATGGATGTCCGACATTCAATTATTTTTCCAACACTAATCAAGACTTATTGGAACAACTCCCATTTAAAAGACGTACTAATAAAAGCTTTGTCCGATGTTTCGTTTTTCTCGCATTTTTATGTGAAAAATTACAATAGATAAGGGAAATAAATGATCAATTAAGACATATCCAATGTTAAAACTTTAAATGTTGAGAACTAAATTAACATAACAATTAAAACTTCCGAAGCAACAGTTTACAGTCATTTTGTAATTTGAAATCAATCTTACGACTCAAAGGCAGCCGATCATAAAAAGAATGCTTTATACTATTGTGATCAGCTCATCGTACTCTACAAATGGGCATAAAATCAATTGAAAATGGAGATTTACATTGGAAGATCTTCTTTCGTAAGTCAATTTCTATTTTATCATATTTTGATAATATCATAATCATTCATGAATTATTTATATTTGAATAAATCAAATCATCAGATTTCATATCTAATGATATTCAATAGCAAAATTCTAAAGGAGCTGATGGCATATTCGGATAAGAAACTGATGGTTTTTCCAATAATTCTTGATTAACTACAATATTTTGTTTAACACCATAACGAAATAAACATTTACCATAGATTATAAAACATATTGAAGGAGAGTTTCCTTGAATCAGTTTAAAAACATTTAATCGAGGATTATTTTTCATAGCTTGATATATAACTTTAACAATATCACCACGAATAAATTTCAAATAAGTATTTGGTGCTTGACGAGTTGAAATAGTTGCTGTAATATGACCAGAAAATTGTATAGATACAGAAAAACGACTACGAAATTCTTCTTCATCAATATTCAATTCGGCTATGATACGAGTCAGAGATGGAACACGTATTTGACTATTAACATCCCAAAATTTTTCGTATTCTATTGTACTAATTATAAAAAGACAAATCAGCTGATGAATAAATACTTTTGAAAGGTTTTTCCACTTACGTATCTTTTCCAAATGGAATAGTTTGTTCACATTGTATATCATTATTTAATTTGATAATTTGCTCAGGTAAATGAAAAACAATCGTTGATTCTTGTGATTTATATACATTACGAGTAAATGTAAACTTAAATATTGATTTTGTAGATTTTTCAGTTGCAAATGTATATGAATGTTCATTAGTTGTTTTATTATCAAAATTTGTACGAAAAATTGTTCGTGAAAACTTTGAAATTGATGAATTATAATAATTAATATTATTTTGTATAAATGAAACATGTTTCCAATTGATTTTTATAAGAAGATCTTCATGTCTTAAATCGATAAATAGATTTTTAATAATCAAATTAATTTTAAAAAAAAAATAATATTTACTTAAAACGTGATAATGATTTTGTTTTTGCTTTATTCCATATAGATCTAATCCATTGTTCAACAATTTCGTCAAGATTTATAACATAAGATTGATCATCTTCTTGAATATTTTCAATATTTTGTTGAATTTTATTCTAAAATATAACAATGTTCTATTTTTATCAAATGAAATAATCAACTCTACTTGATTGCCCATTGAATATTATATGTTGATTTCTACGAGAATATTCATATACTAAACTTTACTTTCTTTTAACTGTACACATAATATATACAGAAGAATGAAATGAAAATTGATATCGATTAAAGATTGAAATAAAAATAAATATCACGGTTAAAGTGTACAAAGGTTGATCCTTTTTCGAGGTTAACATTAATATGTAAACAGATGAATATAGATTTATAGTTGTACCATTTATAAATATCATGATATAACATGTGGCTCACAATGAATGGTAGTATTAGTAGTTTGTTAATCTCTCTTTTCAGTTCTTATAATTTTGAATCGAACTTATTCTTTTCAAAAAATTCGGTATTTAATTCTCCATAAAATCATATACTAATGATTAACCACAAAAGTAAAAATAAATTATTAATTTAAGTAATACTGTGAACATGTAACATGAACAACTTTTTAAATACTCTTTTATTTTGATTCATTGTTGCTTCTTCCTGTTAGTAGAATATTATTCTAAAACTTCAAAATACAACTTTTCGATGTAAGCATATGCGTTCTATGTGCTAGAACTCAATATAGAGCATAAGAAAGGATATTTTAGCTAAAAATATTCACAGAATCTATAATATGACACCGTAGCTTTCTAATGAAAAGAATTTTGTTTTAAAACTAATTTTTGCCTGACAGTAGACATGCTCATAAAATTGTCGACTGGAAGAAGGCGATCATTTTTTCCATCTAGTTCTAATGAGCCTTTTTGTTCACGTGCGATACATAGGACAGAAATTGTTTGTATTTCATCTTTATTGATAATTGATAAATATTCTACACGCTGAAAAACGAAAAAGAAGAAAATGTATATTTATATTCATGATTTTCGATAGATGTTTTGCTGGAAAAATATTACACTAATACTGTTATATGTGAATCATAAAGTTAAAGAAAATACTCGTGATTATAAGCATCATATGTATATTTGACAATAATTATAACAAACAAAATGACAGCACTATCATAGTGTTGACATTGATTATCGGACTCAAATGTCGTTACAAGTACAAACATTGTAAATTGATAGTACGACTTTTTCTTGACAGAAAGAGAATCGATCCTCCTCAAATCCTCCCTTCTATAAACATATCTGCCTGAAGAGGGAAACATATCCAACTATTAATCGCCGATCGAAGTAAAATTTTACGCATGAAAGGAACTCAATTAGAATAGTAAAAACTTAATAGGATTTATTCGAATCGACTTTCTTTATGGAGTTATCAATCAATTTATCTGATTTTCGACTTGTGATAGGATATCCATAGATAAATTAAAAACAAGGAGTTTTTGTGTGAACTTTGGCTCTTAAACAGTTCTAGTGATCTTTAGAATGTTCTGAAAGTTTCAGTCAACACAGATGATTATTTGTCGACTCACCAAATATTCACAAAAAAAACAATCATATGTCATAAAACTAACTTTTTTGCAGTATCCAATACTTTGAGAAGCAATCATTCATTGTAAATAATATTTTCAGGATATTCCAAGGAGCATGAGAGCTATGTATGAACAAAAACTGAGATGAAAATTCCTTCCTTTTGATTTTCTCATGAATAGCTTGCCCAAAGGCGAAAATCTGATAATACGGACATATCTCTACAAGGAAGATCAATGGCAAAAAATCCCTTACAAAATTTCTCTAGTATGAGCGAGTGCTACTTGTTTGAAAAATATCACTTTCGTCGATAATTAATAGTTGAATATATTATCTCATGAGTTGTATGAGTTTTTCTGTCTCGTGAAAAACTACAGGTAACAAAGAACGCGCTTGTTCCAATATTTTGAAGAAAATAAACGCATAGTTCTTTCTATATAAATTCTTGAATATTAGCAATAAGATAGAGTTTTTGAAAGTCTACAAAGTCTATACTCTAAATTATCGAAAAGTTATCATTATTGCTTGTTATAAGAGCTCACGAATACAAGAGAATGATATTTTGTTGTTTAACACATTCGAGGCGATGCAGCCTACCGGTGGGTGCCACTACAGAGCGACCCAAAAGTTTCTTTAGCACAGAAAAATTTGAATATCTCTGCCATATGTTGACCAAAAGGACTGATTCTTTTACCACTGATAAAGGAATGTTCGTAGATCATATCCATAAGAGAAACATTGCCAAAAGCTGTTTTGAAGTATTACAACTATCATGAATAAAGAAATGAAGCCTTTCACAAATTATAAAAAAACAATACTCGTATCGCCGCGAATGTGTTAAGGTTGTTAATACTATATGTTCGCAGTATTATACATAAATAAATGGTTTATTGTAACTTGTGTGCGAAATTTGAAGCAGTGACTTCAGTTATATCTAATGTTTTGGAGAAAATCTCGGTGTCAAAATGCTCTGCACTATTTATAATCGTAGTCTCTTGCCGACAGCTGGAGATCAGTTTAAGTGTGAATCAACTAATTGAAAGTGTCATGAAGATAATAATCCCAAGAGCACATCGAGATTTGAAAATGAATGGGGTATGAACACATGTAGTGCAAAACTCGACGGGTCATCAACGTTGCCTAATCTTAATCCTGTTGAAAACATGTGGAAACTTTTACAGATAAGCTTATCAAAGAAAATTAATTCTCTTCAGTTGCTGCTAACTCGAAAAAATGGATGGTCTTCCAAATAAAACGTGCATCAGCTCTTATGGAAAATATGAAAAACTGCATATATAATGTTATAGAAAATGATAGTGACTTCATATTATATGAATGATAAAGGCATTAATTCTACATTCGTAATGAATGAAAATATCCGATTGATTTGCATACTTCATAGAATTACAGGGAGCCAAGGAATTTTCTGGAGTACTTTATTAAGAAAATTCAAACAATTTCTCAACACTCTGAATCTTTGTTTGAAATCTTTAATAATAATTTCGATCGTCTGCTATTCATATACATCTTTATGACTTTATTTCAATTTTAATCTCTATATTTTGTATCAAAATGAGAAAATGATTCGTAATCAATTTGTCATTGGTAACATGATTTACATAAGTATAAATCTAGACTCTACTAATAGCATAATCAGAGACATCCAATTGAATATTACTGATGCACAAAAAAGATAAAAAAAATACTATCAATCAATAGAAATATTTTCATTGTTTAAATATTTCCTTTCGACAGTTTAATTCGTGTCTTTTTCTTTTCTCGACATATCAGATAAAATTCATATTGAAGTTTATTCAAAGATTTTTCCTATCAATAATGAAGTGATAAAAAGACTCTTGTCACAGCTGAAATATAGATAATCGTTCTTTGTTTCTTATATATATATAGAAATCTTTTTCAGATATATCTTCATTCATTTATGGAATGTAAATTTTATAGTTAACATACTATACGAACAAAGTTAACATTTAAATGAATGATTTTATGATCTGCTAGATAAACATTTTATTGAAATGATTACGAACTTCTGTCACATTTTTTTCTTATTACTTATATCGATGTTTTAATTCTTTATTTTTTTTGTTATATTTCGTTGTAAACATTGTATTTTGTAATGCTTGCCGTTACTGTGTAACTTTCGATAATGTAAAGTGGTAGTGACAACGGAATTATTTACAGATCTGTACTGTAGTCATGAGAATAAGCCGCAAAGTCCTTGCCAGATTATCTACGAAATTTTTCTATTATGTGATAAACTAGAATAAGATTTAATTTCTGACAGTAGAAAAATTCTTTCTAGATTCGAGATTTCCTATTTCATCAGTCAAAACTCCCATATTGAACATAAAGGGTGTTCCATAAGTTTCGGGCCCATTTTTATTTTTATTTTGTTTTCACTATGTTTAAATGTAAACAGATATTGACCGTATATTTTTGAAGAGCAGTATCTCGACTATCATCCAAGAGGATTTGTAATCAATTTGCATTAACCCTAAGAAAATGCTGCATGAATGAAATTATTGAAAATATTCCATCAAATTTCGATTTTTAAGGGGTATTCCAGAACTTCTGTTATATTTTGAAATGTATCGTTCTCGCGTTCAAAAAACGCAAACTTATTGAGACTTTGGCAGATTATTGTACATATCAAGTATAACATAGCTACAAAGTTTGAAGTCTATAGCTTTTACTATGGATAAGAATCAGTAACAAGATTGTCATGAACTAAATTTTCAATTTTCCTGATCATTTTGATTATTATAAAAAAAAAATACAAGTAATGGAAATGAAAAGAATAGCACAGTAATATAAAATGACAGATAAAATAGCAGCATGATTAAAATTGATAATTCATCAAGGCGTTTATGAGTGACACGAACATCGACACCTATTACTGTGCTATTCTTTTCATTTCCATTACTTGTATTTTTTTATGATAATCAAGATAATCAGGAAAATTGAAAATTTAGTTCATGACAATCTTGTTACTGATTCTTATCCATAGTAAAAGCTATAGACTTCAAACTTTGTGGTTATGTTATACTTGATATGTACAATAATCTGCCAAAGTCTCAATAAGTTTGCTTTTTTTGAACTCGAGAACGATACATCTCAAAATGTAACAGAAGTTCTGGAATACCCCTTAAAAATCGAAATTTGATGGAATATTTTCAATAATTTCATTCATGCAGCATTTTCTTAGGGTTAATGCAAATTGATTATAAATCCTCTTGGATGACAGTCTAGATACTGCTCTTCAAAAATATACGGTCAATATCTGTTTACATTTAAACATAGTGAAAACAAAATAAAAATAAAAATGGGTCCGAAACTTATGAAACACTCTTTATTATTACCATTCTATATCTATCTTATTGCGAAGATAAACTGTCGATGTAATTATTGCCAATAAATTTTAGAAAAAATTTCCAAGCCTACATTAAGACTATACACAATTAAAATCTAGACAAAATTCTTCATTCTTTTATCTATCATAGTAAAGCTTTAAATATGTCGCAATTTTTTTTATTAATAGCCAAAAAAAAAGATTTCAATGCAATTTCAAAAAGACAAAAAAGAAATAGAGAACACATATTGTCAGAAAATACAAAACATAAACGCACATGATGTTGACTAGATAAACATGCAAGAGACTATTAATTATTTCATAGAAAGAAAAGAAAAAAAGGTGAGATTGAAAAGTTTATGACCATATAAATTTGACGACATGAGCAATGTTTTGACATTCTCTTGGTGCTAAAATTCCGCCAGCAGTATATAAACCGCTAAGAGTACAACTTTGACATCGGACACTAAAACGACATGTTACACGTTCAACAGAAGCTTTAAAACCATCATGAACAAGTTCATCAACAACAAAACTAAATTTTTAAATAGAAAAATAAATTCATAGAAAATTAAATCAAATTTTTCATACGCGACAAGTTTATCCATATCAATATGTATATCCGATTGTATGGGTTTAAGTTGTTGTTGAATTTGTAAATCAGCTGTAAGACCATCAAAAGCACAAGCTAATTAAAAAACGAAAGAAAAAATTTTTTGATATATTGAATTTAAAAATTCTAATTTTAAAATACCATGATTAACTGTAACAAATTCACGGCTACAATTATAACATGGTATAGTTCCTTTTAATTTTGTATGATCAAGTTGTGTAATCACGACACGTGATTCATGAAATGATGAACGTTTTTCAGCTGATCGATTAATAATATCCATTTTCATATTTTCATAATCGGGTATCAGACGACGAAATGATTCACGTCGACGTAACGATATAACACATGGACTTGAACTTTCTAGTTTGGCTATTAATGAACTAATGCAAAAAAATTCTGCTTCACGTAATACATCTAATGCAACTGATTCCGGTGGCATTTGATCACAACGAATATAATTTAAAATATGGCTAAAAAAAAGCAAACAAAGTTGTTCATCTTTCTAAATACAACACATGATTCAAGAATCAGTTACATGAGCGTAAAAATTGAATATCTCTGACATAGTTGTCCCAAATAGGCTGATTTTTTTTCTACTGACGATAAAAGGATGTTCATGATTCATATCCTTAAGAAACATATTGAAAACAATCTTGTTGACATATCACTATTGATTTCTATATAGAAAGAGCACATATTTCAGCAAATAATAATAGACTACCTCCATATGATAACCTTCAAAAGATGTGCTCTTTTGTGAAATTTTAATCGGGGTGTGGGATTTTTAACAAAACTGACTTATGAAAAAAATGTTTTAGTTTTCCGTGCAGCACTTCCGAGAGATTAGTTTTTCAAGATCTTTATGTTTTATACAATATCAATGAGGGATATTTAGATTTTGAACAATTAATTGCTCGGAGATATGGCATGCAATGCTTCTGAAACTCTATGCATGAGTTAGTCTTATTGAGACGTTGATTGCGGCACAGTTTTAAGATAAAAGTTTGTAACTAAGATTTTATTCTTTCACGGACTGAATTCTCTAAAAATTCAATATATCGCTTAAAACTACACCAAATTGTGAAACTTCTAGAGGATGTAATGAGCAGTTGGTCCTAGATATGGATAAGACGAGCCTAAGATGAAAAACGATTAGTTCCACCCATCATTAGTTGATCTACTAGTATTTGACAAATATGAGTTTAGGGTCTTTGGATCAATTAACGAGATCGTTCGTTGAAAGTAATCAAGGAAGAGTGCACTGCCATGTCGAAGTCCATTGTGTTGCATCAGAACGATTCTCTTTCATATTTTCCTTAAGGATACTCATCATGAACATTCTTTTGTCATTAGTAAAAACATCAATCTATTCGTTCAAACTATGACAGAGATATTCAATTTCAATCTTCATTTAACAGACCTTTGCCTCTTTCCCTACTCGTATCTGAATCATAAAACTAGTTAAAAATACTTCTGTACTATTCATTCAAGACAATGAATAGTTTATAAATAAATTTTAATAAGAACAAAATTTTTTGATTAAAAACAAAACATTGAATTATATTTTTACAAATATTTTTGAAACTATTCTAATTACTAAACTTCTTAAACAAACAAAGATATTCTATAGCATTGAACAAATTGATTTTTTAATTTTGCAAGGAAAAAAAATCTAAACAATGTCATACCCGAAATTACTTCCATCACGATCAATAAAAATATGTCCATCTTCATCTCTTACAAGGTCATATCTCCCACTAAACATAACTGCTAACATTGAATCTTCATATTTTCGTAATGTTGATAAGCTCGTTGTATAATGACAACCACCTACGTTAAGATCGATAACATTTGGAAACTAAAAAAAAAAAACAAAAGCAGAATAAAATTAATTTATTCGAAGAGAAATATAACCTACCATAATATCATCCTGAGTTTTTGGTAAAATAACAAGTTCCATTGGTGGTGTTTGATGTCGTTGTGTTTGAACAATATGTTGATTGTGTTCATCAGCTGATTTAGTTTTTAATTGGACTTGTGTTAAATTTTTTTGAATTTTATCAATTGGTAATTCACTATCTTCAGTTGGCATTTCAGGTGTTGATGTTCGAATCATAAATGTTTCGTTCATATCAGCGGCCATTGCATATCTATTTAAAAAAAAGTACATCATTTTTCAAATCATTTTCAATTCATGCGTCTATGTTTATGTGTTTATTTTAAAAAAAGAAGAAGAAAAGAGACGGATGAGAAGAACAAAAGAAAACATAAAGGATGATCACTGAACTATGAAAAGAAAAAGAAATACGGATCACATAAAGTATTTATATGGAGCTGGGATGCCTTCACTACGTCCAGGTCGGTAACCGATGATGCTACCACGACCAATACATTCACCAATATAAAACCAAAATAATACTTCAAGACCGACGAGTGTATTTAATGAAAATTGCTATGTTTTTTAAAAGATAAAAATATAAGCTGATTAAGTAAACAAATAACAATATTTTACTTTAACTGTTAATTGACGCCAAGCACCAGTTGAAGCTGATTTAACAATTTGTTGTATTCCTTGTTGAATTTGACCGAATTCATTGGGCATTGGTGGTCGTAATTCAACACGAGCAAAATACCAAAATCGAGATAATTTTGATTGTCCATAACGTGCCACAGCTATAAATCAATTCAATGATTTTAATAAAAAAGATTACAGATAAAACTTACGAAGAGCAAGTTTTGGTACAAGAGCTGTAACACGATTAACAAGAGCAGCCATTCGACACGATGTTTCGAGATCAAGAAAAAACAACAAGCAATAACACGTTGTTGAGAAAAAAAAACTAATGCAATAGTTTTTCCATTGATTTTGTATATTTGCCTTTTCTGTTAACAAGATTAGATGAGATGTCGCTAATGTATAAAAGATTGTAAAAGACTATATGTTAGGTTTTTTTATGTTTATTGTACTTTGAAATTATGAAAACTATTACAAAAAATAAAATTGTTTAATAATTAAAATGAATGAAACGATCATTTCTCTTTCGAACTATTGTTTCTTTTTATATGCATTATCATGGTAATGTCGTTTTTTAGAAATTTCATCATTTTCTTATCTATTTCAAAACTGTAATTGCTGACAACAACTTAGTGACTAATGACAACTATATATATATATCACGTTGTTCGATTAGTAGGATTGCAATAAATGAAAGAATCTATGATGATGAACAAATCAGAAGTAGAAGTAAATTATCAAGTGATTTCTCCTCGATTTTCCGTTCAAAATATCGAAGAACTTCAACAAGGTATTGAACATTTAAATGAACGTGGTTATGCTATATTTAGTGATATTCTTACGAATGATGAAATAAACAATAGTATAGATTTATTATGGAAACATTTGGAAAATTTAAAAAGCCCTTATGATATTCGACGTAATGATCCTGAAACATGGAATGAACATTGGTAAGTTAATTTAACAATAAATCAAAGATTTCGTAAAAAAAAACAAATCTGAATATCTATAGGCCTGGAATATGTTATATTGGCCTATTAAATGATCATGGTATTGGTCAATCAGAATTTATGTGGTATATTCGTGGGAAACCAAATGTAAAGAAAGTTTTTTCACATATATGGAATTCTAATGAATTGTTTACATCTTTTGATGGAGTTGGTTGTTTTCGGGATTGGAATTTAAATAAAAAATGGAAAACAGATAGCGCTTGGTATCATTGTGATCAAGTAAATATGTTAGCTTTATTTTGTTTTGTTTGACTCTTTTGTTCGGTTTGTTTTTCGCGTATAGAATCCATTCCGAAAACCTAATCGATGTTCAATACAAGGTTTTGTTTCTTTAACTGATAATGATGAATCAACAGGTGGTCTTGTAATTGTACCGGATTCTCATAAAAATTTTATTGATTTACAATTTATTCTTGATGAAAACCGTTTATGGGGTGATTTTGTATCGATTCCTCATGAAGTAATGGAAAGAGTACATCCTCGTTTAGTTAAATGTAAAGCAGGAGATCTGGTTGTTTGGGATTCTCGATGTATCCATTGTAATACACCAGCTTTTCTCGATAAACGAAAAAATAATTTATTATCGGAGCCTCAACTTTTACGTATTGTTGCTTACATATGTATGAGTCCATTATCAATGTTTGAACCTGATGGAGTTCGGTATGAAAATTTAGAAGAATTTCGTGAATTAAGAGAAGATTTTGTTCGAAATAGAACTACCTGTACACATTGGCCATTAGAATTAATTACAGCTAGTATGTATTTTAAATAAATTAATATCCATGTCAATATATACTACACTTCACTGTTTATTTTTTTGAATTACTTTTCATAGGAACAATATAGAGACCTGCGGTTTTCACTATTCAAAAGAGAAAAATTGACACCGTCGAAATATATTGAAATTTGATTGATCAGTAATACATTAATCAATGAAACTCTTAGTGAAGGTTTTCGAAAATGGTATTCTGAAACTATTTCTCTTTTGATCTAAAGCTTTTAATAAGACTAATTGATAGAAAAAAGTCCTTATTTTGTAATCTACGCAAGGCAGATATTCGTAGCTTGTTCCATACACAAGTTATAAGACTTTTTCTGACACCTCCGATTTTAGCTGATTGATCTATGATCACTCGAAGAGCAACTGGGTAAAGAGAATTCATAGTATTAAGTTGAATGATGATTTTTATTTTTAGATTTAAAATAATCTCACATTGTTATCCCAATATTTCAGAAATTTTGCAATCAGCCTCCATATAACGAGAAAGCTGCTATTTCCGAAATCTTGGGATAAGACTGTCAGATTATTTCAAATCTAAAAGCAAATGTCGTCATTCGCCTCTGCACGGCGAATTCTCTCTGCCTAGCTATTTTTTCAGAATGTTACAGGTCAATTGTCTTCAACTGGAGATCTCACGAAAAGTGTACTAACTCTCAAACGGAATCAACTAGGTATGTTGGCCTTACGTGAATAGAAATAGGGGAATAGTTTCAGAATCTCAATTTCGGAAATCTATAGCAAGAATTCATCTGATTAATCCATTGCTGAACAACCAGTATTTGATATATTTCGATGCGGCTCTGAGTTTTCTCTCTTGAATTGGTAAAAACTACAGCTCTTTATGGTGTTTCTGTGAAAAATTATTTAAAAACCAGGGAAGTACATTTACAATATTTTGAAACGAATAGTAGATAAATAAATATTCTCCTTTATTATAGGTCGATTATCAGATTATGATAAAGTTCCACTCAAACTTAATGCATATCAACATTCACTTATTGTTGGTACACATGTTGAACCAGAAAATGGAACAACAGAAATTATTTTTTAATTTTGATGCTCATTCACTCAACAAATTAACTCATTCATAAGAAGAAATAAATAATGCTCATGACTAAATAAAGAATGTCTAACTTGTATAACTCTGATTTGATGACATTCGAAAATTTACTGTTGGAAAAGTCTGAGATTGTGCAGAAAAGAACGACTCTAAAAGTAAAGAGCCAAGTATAATTTGACTTTTGTAACATCATCGTTAAGAATGCTCTAGGATTGTGTAAAATATCTCGTACCTGCGGAATACGTATCTAGTGGGAATTAAAAAATTTCCTTTAGAGTATGTGACATGATTTTAGAATTCATTGTTCTTGCATATGATAAAACTCTGAAAATGAGCTCGATTTACTACTTTTTAACGACTTTCAATCAATAAAATTCAATACAAATATATAGTGAAACTAATTTTAAACCTGAAATACTTTATAAACATCTGCCGTAGAAGAAAATAATTCCTTTATGAAAATATATTTGCTTTTTGCACATCTCAATGAAAGAATATAATTGTTAACGACTGCACAGGAAACATTCGAACAATAATATGAAAAATAAAAACAACCGAAAAATTAACAAATTTATAAAACTTAATTTTTCAACATGATCAAGATTCTCATCAAAGAAATGCGTATGACTTTGAATACTCTTCAACTTCTTCAGCATAAGTGATATATTTATACGATATAGTCCATAATCATCTCACAACTATATTATGTATATATATCGTATGAGCCGTTTTTGAACTGTTGAAGAAAACTGATTATAATTCAACATTACTTCCCATCTCCTTTCAATTTTTTTCTGCTTTGGCGAATAATATTGTCATATCTTTAATTTCAAAACTTGTAGCACATTATATATGTCCTAGTGAAAAACGTGATAAATCATAAAAAACAAGAACAGCTGAACTCTCTATAAAAATGACAGATGTATGATATATACTCTATACATAAAGTAATCATTTACTTCCAATGACTCGGTACTGTAGATAATTCTATTAGACTTATTAGTCATTGTTTCTCATCAGTGATGTTTTCAACATTAATGAAAACAAACTTTTCGAAGGTCTAACGTAATTTGCATGAATACAACAATTTAATTCAAATATAAGATTGATTAGAGATTTGAATGCAATATCGAATTGTATATTGCAAATTGTTTAAGATGATATATCATACTTTAGAATATTCTTGAAGAGGTTGATATGCGTTTGCCGATTGAATTGTTGTGCAGTTCAAAATTGATCGATGCTCAACTTAAGTATTTCAAGAACAATAGTACAACAATATAGAAGAATTGAAAAACAATATTAAATTAAGATAGAAGAAATTTCGTGTTTTTTATATCAACAAATCCTCCATAGAAAAACAGTACAATTAAAATAACGGATAGATGAAAATGGTCATGAAACCTATGAACAGTAATAAACTAATGTATGTTTTTTTTAAATAGTTTTAATTTTAAAATATCAAACGACAAAACTATAAAAATAGAACATCATCATATTATTATGACTTCTTTTTAATTATCGTGAAATCTATCAAGCTACAGTTTTGTGGTAATCTAGAACTCAATCAATGGAATAGGCCAACAAAATTTGAGTCGGTCTGTTTTTATTACATGTATAAGCGATAAATTTTAACATCATTTCAGAATCTCTAAAACACTTTATCATACTAATAGTATTAGTGTGATCTTTCTAAACTGTTGAGCATAGACCTTAAGCCTATATAATCATTTTCTGAAACCACATCCTTTTTGGCAGTCTTTGGTTTTCGAAAATAATACAAGGGATCCATCGGGAATTTTTGCCACATATAAAGTACGTAAAATAAGGAAATAATTGTTCAAAGAAAAAAAATTTGAACAAAGCTTTTACGGTTGTTACCGGAAAAATCTGGTTTTCCAAAGGAACTATACCCGCTTCACTTACAAATTCTATCAAATTTTATCTAATGGGAATTAAATATTTTTTCTAGATAACTTTGGCGATATCTCACGTTTGATTTTAAGACCTTCCAAATATCTTGCTGTACTTTTTTTCACGAAACACATACGTATAAGTGTGTAACCGAAATTCGGGGCGTTGGCGTTCAGGATTCATTAAGTCCGGATTGTAAGGCCAAACATTAAAATTGTCGATATCGCCTCTGCGCTATTATTCAAAGTAGAGATGCAGAAGATTCCGCTAAAGTGAAAATTTTCTCCCAATGCTGTGAAATTCTTTAAAAATCCTTCCTACTACCAAAGTAAAATGATTTTTTTTTAAATGTACATATTAAAAAAACCCAAGAGAGGCAAAGCTACTATGCAATCAAAATAACTGGATGAAAAATAAATTAGTTCCATGAATCATTGAATAATACTAATAATCTTGATACTTAGTCATTCCAGAAACACTTTATTATAAGTGAATCCAGACTTAAAAGTTCTCATGTTAGATATTGTTTACTTTTCTTATAAAATAGCACTAGTCGTCTCTAAATCGGTTGCAAGCATCAAGGTGAAGTCAAGAGTTAAGAATGATAGATTATATTGAAGGTTAGCAGAATAACAAAGTTTTCTAACTTGTTACCGTACTGTTGTCGGTTTCGTTGTGGAGTTTCTGACAAACAGTTTGTTATTTATATTAAGAAAAGCAAAATAAAGGTTAACCGATAAAGTAAAGCACGCAAACCGAATGCTCTAATACACATGTCAATTCGGCAGGTCTGTTGCCAAATATTTGTAGTAAAAATTTCAACTCGAACGAACAAAGATAAATTGTACTCTCAAATGAATCTGATTCAATCCTCTAGAAAATCATCAACACAAAAAAGAAAGAAAAAAAAACAAACAATAAATAGTAGAGAGGCAAACTATAATACGGAAACATTCATCACAAACGTCATTTGTTTCAAAAGTCACAATGAAAATTAAAAAAAATAAAAATAGAGAAAATCTTATGAGTGCATATCTGATTTTATATTTCTGCTAATACATATTCAAGATGAGTTTCTAAAAGATTCTTGTTGTTTGAATAAGCTTTCGCAATAGCTTGTTGTAAAATATGTTCCAAAGATGTGTATAGAAAAAGCTTTGTTTAAAATTTCTTGCCTTGAACATGTATCTCCTTATGTTAAATACTCTATCTATGGTAAAAGTTTCATGTGAATCAGTTGTAATCTTAATTTCGATATATACGAATTAGCATATTAGTTCATTTCAATTGATTGTTTAGAGAAGCTTTATTCAATTTGAATTCAACATATTAAAAAAATATACTTATGTAAAAATTCAAATTTACCAGTGTTGTATAAATCATAGACTATGATTTTCAATTCCAATGTCACTATTTATTCAAGCGTAGATTAGAGTGTGAGTGACACATTCATCGAATTCAATTGCATGTTTTTCGTCGAAAGTTTCGCCGAGTATTCAAAACGATTGCGAATCGTTCGATTTTGCTATAAGATTGTTAGGAACAAAGAAATTAATTCATTTTGCCGATATCGAGATGTTTAAGACGATTATCATAGCTAGGAGAACACTTTTTTCAAGAACTTTCTTGGACTAAAAGTATCAATATCTTTCGAATATGTTCTATTTTATCATAAGAGAAAATGTACTGGTATAGCTTCTCATCATAAAATCATTCATGTTAATTAATTATTCCAAAAAAGAAAAAAAAAGGTCACCGGTATATTTCAAAAGAAAAAACAAATAACAATCATGTTGATCTTCCATTTGTTTCAATAATTGTTTCAGCTGATTCGTCCTCATCTGTTGATACATAAATACTTGTTGTTGCTGGTACTTCTCCTTGTGTTGTTTCACTTTCACTTGTACTTTGTGTTAAATATTTTGGATAATGTTTTAAACTTCGTCGAACTGATGGACTTATTGATGTTGCATAATGATCGGAAGGTTGTATCAAATGTGGAGATTCATTATTTGTATTATCATATTCTAATAAATGTTGATCCTGGTCATCACAATTATATCCTACAGATGACATTAAAAATGTATTCGAATGTGAACATGTTTGATGTTGTGGATGAGGAGGTGCACGTTTTAATTTTGATTTCATTTTAATTTTCCATGCTGTAAATGATCCATTTACATCATTTTCTGATCTTGTTTTTCCTTTTTTTCTAGATAGATTGACATTTTCTTGACTTTCACGATGTAATGCTAATAAACTTCGACGAACAGTTTCAGATATAAGACGAGGATCAAGCAATTGTTCATTAGAATTTTCCGCATAGGTTTCACTTATTTTTGGCACTGGCAGTGATATATTACCATCAGAATGACGAGTAGATCGTTGACTATTCGGTGGAACACATAAATGTTGTGTTGAACAACCTATTGTACACAAATTTGAATCATGCCATGATGCTGGTAAACTACTTGGAGTGAAAATATGTGGAATAGTAAGACCTATTGAAGATTGAGCACTTCCTATGAAAAAAAAATGATTGTTCTATTGAACTATTACAAGAATAGTATTTTTGAACAACGGATAGAAGAAAACACTGTAGTCATTCAAAATAAAATTCATCATGAGATTTTCTAATTCTTGCCTTTTTTTCATAATATGAATTACAATAATACACGATATCTATGAATAAAGAATCTTTCCAGTAAGTCGAAAACTTAGGTTAAATTAGTAAATATTCAGACCCCAAATCTACGAGAGAAACCTTCCAATTGTTCAATCACTTTTCAATCAAAACAATGTGCATTAATCTAGACCCTAATGACCTATGAATACCCTCAGAAGAGTTCGTTTCTTTCGTTTATTGTGACGGAGATATTTTTAACTAAATGTTGTGACCTTTCTCAGAAATACTGGAAAAATGGATTGTCGAATTTCGACTTGAAACTTGGCATCAAGATAGATCTTAGCAAGAATAGTTTTTTATGAATGTTTCAAATCTTGTCGTTGTTCCAATCATTAAGACACAACTATGGTAATAGCATGTCTTTTGCATAACTCATACCAATCTATAGATTTGATGTTCTTATGTCAGAATAGAAGTAAATCAAACGATCGGAAACTTTCACAATAAACTATTCTCGTTCAAATCTGACTCTATTCATAATAATGCACTATTTTCATCTTAATAAGGTAAGGGCACGAATTCTTTTCAGGATATTCATACTTCATTTAGTCTAAATAATGTGCGTAGCCTCGAGTCAAAAGCAGCTGAACAGTTGGAGGACTTTCCTCGCTATTGTCGAAAGATACAAAAAAAATGGTTAGTGGAATCAATGCAAAAATTCAAATATGAAACACGATGTACCTGCTGTTACTAATTAGAAGAAAATCACTTAGTTTTATTTATTTGGAACATATATCTTCGCCATCCTTTTACTTAATCGTTCAAAAATGCAATAGGAAAGTAGTTCATAGATTATAGCGAGGTGTTATTCTTATACAGTCTTTGATCCTATATCAGAAATGTCTTCATCTTCAAAGTTGCATGAAGTGAGCTATTTTCTGTTTGAGTCTTTGATGCGGAGAGAGTGTTACTGAGGATGGCTGTCACGTCTCTGATGTGTCATTACTAAGATGTTTGCAACGGTCTGTTCATATCTTCTGTCATAATCTATGAAATTTTTTGTGAATACTCAAATCACAGATTTAGTATCGAAATTAAAATAAAATCTTAATATTGATGAGGTGTTAACTTAAAATGACTTATTTTTTCTAGAAGATAATTAAACAAGTAATGAATTAGAAAGTTGAGATAATAAAAAGAAGACGGCATATTTACTACATATATGAATTAAGTAAAATTTTCTTTCATTTTTCATGTATCATTTAAACATTAATTTGAAAAATTATATAAAATTCTGCAACTTGTCGGAGATTTTTAATAGATAAAACTATGAAAATATTTTAGTGGTTTTCAATCGATAAAAAAATTAAAATAAATAGAATACGAAAAAAAGACTCCTATTGAGAAGAATTCTTTTAATATGATTATTCTATTATTAAATGAACTTCTGTTCGGATTAAAGCAAGAGGTAAACTCCCATCTTGTGTTTTTCTTATTTGAAATTCGATTCTCTTTGTTAGTTGAAAATAATTTCTTTTATATAACCATTTTGTTTTAAAGATTTTTCTTAACAATTGAGATTATCATATTTTTGAAAATTGTTTTTACCTTTTCGATTCGAATATGAACTTTTCTCAATACGTCTATTTGATTCTGTATCAGTTGTGAAATATGGTATTGATGATTGAAATTCATTTATTTCTTGATATGTACTTAATAAAATATTTGTTGACGGACTAGGTCCAACTGCTGTTGATAATGGAATATTATTTGAAAGATCCTCATGACTACTAGCAAGTGTAGATAATATTGGTGGCATTATTTTCATAGGATTTTTTGGTAAATATTCTTGTACATACTTTATACTTTTTAATTCATCTTGACTAATATGTGTATCAAGTAATGTTGAATAACGTTTCTTTTTATATATGATTGAATCTTGTTCACGTGTAACAATTTTAATGTCACCAATATTCAATGGATCTTTACGATTAACACAATAATGTACTTGTGTTTCAAGACGACGAAGTGACTTATATTGATTAAGACAAAATCCAATTGCTGATAACCATATAGCCAAAACAAAAAATATTAAAAATACTTCACTTGACATTATATCAGGTGCTGTACTAACAACAAGTGTTGGCGACACTAAATAAATAAATAAATATATTAAAATGAATATACTAAAATAAATAAATAAATAAATAAATACTTACTTGGATTAGTAACATCACCAACACATCGACATGCATTCGAATTTTCAATCAAATAACATCGATTACGAGTGAAATTTGATAAGAATTGACAAAATGTAACGATTGTTAGGTCGCTCATTTTGACTATTATAATACAACATTAATATCCTTTGTTGTTTTGGTAATAAGAGTAATAAAATAAAAATTCTTTTCTTTGGTGTTTATATTTTATCATACATTCTGTCAATGAATTCTCTTTGTCTAAACATTCACTATATATCTAGAAGTTGGGATAAAGAGAAAAAGAGAAAACATTTTCTTGCTAGATTTTTTTTTTGCACTACCACTTACACAAGACTACATCCGTTCTGTTTAATACGTCTTGCTGTAAAGATTAAGCTGAGTACTAAAAATAGTTTCTTTTATGATCGGCAGCAGAAATAGGCAAAAAAGGCAAACAATCACAAACCAATGAATAATACAATAACAAACAGATCGTATATGAATTTTAGAAGAAAAAAAAAGCTCAAGTTAAATGTCATATCGATTGAAGAGCAAAATGTCTCATGACATTATGTTTGAGTCAAGTGCATAATTGATAGTTTCATCAAAACTTAAAAAATCGTTTAATAAATTGAATCAAACAAGTTTTGATTTGTATAATATTAATAATAATTGTTCACATTTTATCAAAGACTATTTCTTGAACATATAAACAGATTACTGTCATAATTACTTTATTACTAAAATCGTAGGAATATTATGCGACTATAGACAGAAAAGATTGGGCATGTGTTAAATGATTTTCAACAATATTATTAGACAAAGAGACGAAAAAAGTTATAGTTGAATAAAATATTTCTATGTATATATTACAACGTATTTTACAATGAAAACGTTTTTTTTGCATGCACTATTGATGATTTTAATAATTACTTTTCTTTTAAAAAACAAGAAATAATTAACTTCTTTGCTGTTTGTTGACTGTTGTAAGCATAGAAATTTTCATCTCATTAAATTCATTAAAAGCTCTGGCATGTGTTTTGTTCCCTTTTATTTTGCTTTCACAATGCACGACGTTTTTTATTGTTAGGCTATATGTTTTTTTTTTTTACTAGAGAGGAACTCTTTTATTTCCGCACTTGTTTTAATTTGTCATACAAACTCGGTAAAAAAAAAGGCTCCTGACAATTATTTATTCATAATTATCTCACGTTGCTTTCATTATCATGATTGAACTATTTGATAACAAGCAAAACAAAAATTCATGTCGATCGAAGTTTACTAATGGTGGTAAAGCCAAAAAAATATTTATTTCAAATTTTTTTTTTTTCTATTTATAAATTATTGCATTAAGATAGAATACGTGTTATATTAAAATAAAATTTCTTACTTTCTTTGAAACGCATGATGATGTAAAATTAAATCTCAAAGTTAGTTCTATGATAATTACATATCCATTGTTATTCATCAGTGTTTTATCGTTTTGTCTTTTTCTTTGAACAGGAATCTAGTCATACATACTAATCTATAGATTGAAATATTTTATCATAGTTATTAGATAATAAAAGGAGCGTACAGTTAAAAGGAAGATGTAACGGGTAATTTTGTGGGTGGATAGATACATTGAGTAATTGAATCAATCAGAAGAAAAATGTCGTTATTCTATCCGTCATTAATAATTTGCCAATACTCAGCGTAACACCCGAGAAGAGGAACAAAGAATTATACGAGTTTCTTTGCCTTTTTTTTTTAGAATATATGCTCAACAGAGATTGATTTATTATTGTGTTTGACCGTAGGAGCAAATTCTTTTTCTCCTATATATAAAACAACAATAATTGAATCCTGCTCCTATGAACTGAAAAAAAAAGACAATAATGAAAATGATTTGGGAATAAATAGAACGATGATATTAAGCAAAAAAAAAGAGTGATTTGATTGCTGTTTAATATTAGAGTAGGATATGACGGATACATCTATCATTAATAGCTAATGTGCTTCAATAGAACAGTATATAAAAATGTTTGTCACAACAGAATACATCCATGTTAATGATACTTCTGTCTAATAAATACGGAAATACAAAACAAATTTTCTACTTTTATTAGTTTATTGTTTTTATAATTAAAACTAAAAACAAATGAATCAAATTATATTTAATATATTCATGATAAATCACTGATGAAACAGGTCAGAATGTCATGCATCGATCGACTTTTTATTTTTAGTATGTAAAAAAATAATCACTGACTTGTATTATAAATTCTTGCTATTCGTTGTTGTTGTTTTTTTTTATTTGAGTAGTCACATGAGAATAAATCGAACTTGATAGCAAACTAACTGTCAATGATATTTACATAATATTTTATCAATGATAACAGAAATAAAAAGAGGCACATGCCCTTCTTATGAAAACATAATATTATATGTTCGAGTTCATTATCAATATTTTAGATTTTTGCACTTTGAAGTTGATATAATAAGTGAACTCTAGATGGTTGTTTAGGATTTTTTTTTCTTTCAAGTGATCCGAACAGTCTGTTTAAATAATTTATTCTTGTGATAACTCTCTAAGAAAAGTTTAGAACAATAAAATATTTCATCTTGAAATTCAATAAGCTGTACAATAGGAGAAAAAAACAATATATTGATCTGAATTTAATCAACTTACATATTTGTTATATCATAAATGTTTGTTGATGTGTATTTATTTTTTTCACTTTGAAAAATAGTAAAGAGTTTCTGTTTATGAAAGAAAAAAAATCATGGGAACAATGATAACAATCACCGGAATCTGACTACATTTGTGTTAATAATTCAATAGAGAGACATATGGAGATATACTTTGTTTCTTTTTTCTACTTATGGCGCTACAAATAAAAAAAATATTAATGTTTGAGATGATTGATTGCATATGAAATTAAATATTAAAGTCAAAGTCGACGAAGGCGAACAAATTCTCTAGTAGTTTCTGTTCGTTGTTGAAATGGTTCTTCATGAATGGATGTTTGTTGTGATTCATATATTTTTTGTCTAAAATATTTCATATACACGTATATCTTTGATAAAGTAAAAGCAAACAAAAGAAATATAAATCTAGACGAAAATTTTTATGAATAACAATTCAACATTTATATATTTGTTTTCTACTATAATTTACAAGAAGATTTTTTATTTTTTTTTAAATCTTGATATAAATCAGTTTTATTATTTTCTTATAAAGAAGATAAAATAAAACATTAATATATCAATGAGACCATACAGTTATATGCTTAGTTAAAAATAAGTTTCAAACACATACACACACACACACACACAAAAATTGATCAATAGAAGCATTTATGTATATATACACATGATTAAAAAATTAGACTTCTAGTAAAGATTATGCATAGAATAAACTAATAGAAGCAAAAGACGAATGTTTGTGACATAAAACTGATGACGTTATGGAATATATCTCACCCATATTTTTCTTGATTTTGAATTGTTTTCATCTGTTGTTCCAAATATGGTGCTTCAATAATTAATTTTCCATCAATATAATTTGATTGTAAATGTTCAATATCAGTCTGCGGTGGTAAACTAGTTGATTGAAAAAATGATGTACGTGATTTACGTGTGTTAGTTTCGATTTTTCTTTCTGCTTTAACAATTAATTCTTGTCCTTGAACTAAAACTTTTATATCTTCGGGTTGATAATCACTTAAATCTAAAGACATAAGTAATTTTTTTACATGATTATTTTTTTCATTAAATGTTGTTTGAATAATTTGTGGACGAAATGCTGATCGATGAAATAAATCATAATCAAAAGGTTTCGTATTTTCAATTAATGATTCATTTATTGGTGCTGTACGTAATGTATTATTTGTTATTATTGAACTATTCTCAATTCCTGTCCCATATTCACTTTTATTATTAGTATTAGTATTAGCAATAGTATCATTATGATGATGACCTAATTGATTATGTATTGTTGGTGAAATTTTTTCTCCATTGGTTAAATTAAGATCACCATAAGAAAATGTTAATGATTGAATTGTATTTTGAATTGGTGGAATGAATGAAGAATTGTTTTTATTTTCATTCGTTATTGATTGTAAACAAGGCATTTCAATTGTTAATTCTTGAGTATTTTTGTTGTATGTATATGTGTATTTATTTAAATCAATATATTTAGGAATATTAAATACTTTGTGTAATTCACGACGTATATAACCACCATTATTATCCTCTTCACAATGTTTAGCATCAATAATTAATTGATTTTGATGATAACGTGGTGTTATTGTAAATTCATTTTCTTGATAATCATCTGTTTTAAGTTGAATTATATATTTATCACCTTGATCAGTTACTTGTTGATCATATGAATATGTTGTTCGACCCATACCTAATTCTGATGAATATCGCAATGATGACATATTATTTAGTTGTTCAACATCATATTGATGTTGAAGATCTGTAGAAAATTTTGCAGTTGATAAACGATCAAGAATATTATTAGATATATCTGCTAATGATTTGCTGTAATGATTTTTGTTTGATGATACTAACGTATGACTATTGTTGCATGTTGTTGAATAATAAGACGAGACTGGACGTTGAAAAGGTGTTGATGTCAAATGATAAGATTGATTATTGTTATTGTGTTGTAAAGTAATATTATTATTTAATAAACTTGATGACGAATATGAGGTATTCTCCGTTGACGGATCGTTTAGATCAATATGATGGTTGTAAATTGATGGTTGCTTTTGCTCTTGTTGATACTTAAGTTGTTCTGATAGAAAGTATTGATTATTTCTATTCTCACTACTTGAAAATCGCCCTTGGGAATGTTCTTGTTCGTATTGTTGATGATGGCGAATTTTTTGCTGTTCTGTGACGAAAGAATGAGGAGAACGGTTGTAATAAGTTCGAGGCGTTACATTCTTAGCAGTTGGAAAGAAAAGTAATGAAGATGAGGACGGAGATAAAGAACTTTTTGTTGTCTGCCCTTGATGGAATTGTTGTTCGTCTAATGGAATCGAAGAAGAAAAATATTCCGTTGAAACTGGTTCTTCTAAAGTATTGCTATTCACTCCGTTCGATAAACAAAGTCTTTTCTTTGATTGATAAGGTAAAAATGAT